GCTTACTTTGTAATTGCTACTACTTAAAAGTATACAACTTTTAAAAGTTTTTTCCTGAATGTCCTTTTGGTGTAGTCTGATGGAGACACTTTACTGACGACTTTAAGATTTTTTTTTTGGCTCTTAAAAGTATATCCTATTCAGTTTCTTATGTACACTGACCAGCTTCTGTTTCTGTTTAATTTAGGCTATTTATTCCTGAGTACTTGATTATGTGACTATAATCACAAGATTGCTTGCCAATTTTTCTATATTTCTATATTGTATATTCATGCCTTGCAGTGAAATGAGATGACAACCATTTGAAAGTTTTCTGAAAGTGATTTGGATAGTATAGTTAGTCTCTAAATATCACTTTGAGAGAATAATTGTAGTCAGAAATCTATATGGCTTACTGATAATACTTTATTTTACAGATCATATTTAAGACATTCACCATAGAAAGGTTCAGTTTACTGAGACCACTGTCCCTCCAATTCATTTTCAGTTTGTGTATTGAGCACTATTATTTGTGCTGGAGTCTGAAAACAGGACTATGATCTTTGCTTCCAAAGGCAGGTTGAATGTGTAGCTGTAATATTATTGATTTGTATTGAGTTGGTGGTTTGATTAAAGCCACCAACTTGAGTAACTCAAGAAGAGAACTCTAAGTAGAACCTTAAGAAAATGTTACAGAAGAGGTAACATAAATTAGGATGGATATGGGAATGGAAATGCACTCCCTGAACTGCAGAGCTTCTTAAACCCATGTCAATATTGAAGTAAAGATAAGGTTAAGAAAGTAAAGTTATGTGGTATAACTGGAGCATGGCATATATATTTGGAACCCAGAAAACAGCCCAGTGTTGTGGAGTGTTAGGAGGATGCGGAAGACATAAGAAAAGGTAGAAACACAAGTTGGAGATATTATAAATGATGTCAAATTCTACACTATGATATTTGAACTTCATCCATTAGAGCTTTGAGTAATGGAGAGCAGGAATTTTAAAAAGATTAGTCTTGCAGCACAGTAGAGAATATGGTGGGGAAAGAGTGAACCGTTTCCTTAGAGATTCCACTCCCCAAATGATTCTCAGATGATCAAACATTACTTGTGAACATTCTCTAAATATCTGTTAGTACTGAAGCTAAATAAGCTCAAGCATACTCCTTGGTTACTTAAAAAATTCAAACACAATAGCATTATTACAATTCCTTTTATGTAAAACATTCATTTGTATATGGAGATTATACATAGATTATACATTCACACACAGTTGTATCTGATAAAAAGTTCTGAAAAGCACAGTGAAAGCACAGTAAGCCTGAGACTATTTAAAAAAAAATCTAAGATCTAAATGTACTACAAAATTCAGCCAACGGCTAGATTATTGGAATCCAGAGTCACTTTTCCCTGCCCTCCCTTAATGTGGGCTTAGGTATCTAGGTCTTTTTCCTTTTGAGTGTGTGTGAGTCATAGGCTCTTGCCCTGTGACTTATTTCCTGTATTTGTTTATAAGCAACTTGAAGGCAGCGATGATGTTTTATCCCTCCCTTCTAACTCTACACAGCCCAGTCTGTGTTCTGCTGTTTACTCAGCCAGCAAAACTTAACAGAATCGTAAGTTAAATATGTTAGAATATGCTACTGCTCAGTTTGTGGAGGATGATTAAAGATCTGAAAGTGAGTCTTACTGACGTGGAAGTATCAAACAGCAGCAATACTTATTGGGCACCATCATGTGTCCAGTGCCTGAGGACATGGAAGCCCAAAGCAAGACAAATCTGTGGAGCCTCCAAGGTGGAAGCAGCTGAATGCTGTAACTAGGAGGGAGGAAAAGGTGAAAGGAGGATCCCAGGCATTGCATGCATATAAATCTCCTTAGCAATAAATGTTTTTTCTTTTGTTTTCTTCTGTTTTGACTTGGTGGGACTAGGGTTTGAACTCAGGGCTTCATGCTTTCAAAGCAGGAAGTATACCACTTGAGCCACACCTCTAGTCAATTTTGCTCTGGTTATGTTGGAAATATTCTCAAATTACTTGCCTACAATTCTCCTGATCTCAACCTCCCAAGTAGCTAGGATTATAGCATGAGCCACTGGCTTCTGGTATGCAACAGTTTTGAGGCAGGGATGTTTGCAGTTCTTTTATATTAAGCACTAGAGTTCTAACAAGGTAAGTCATGGTCTTTAAATGTTGGTCACTAGTGGATAATGGTCCTGATAATCTAAACACTGTCCACCTGACCTCAGCTGCACAGCACTATGTCCTTAGTAGGAGATGAGATGGGATTGCCTTTCTTTTTAATAGACTGTTCATTTTGGTTCATGAAACCAGAATCAGATTCAGTAATAGTTCTTCTCAATATATTACATTTTCTTCATCACCTATTTTTCTGTGAGTAATATTGGAAACCAAACCTACCTGACAAAATCCTTTTTTTGCTCACAAGTCACAAAATTATGATTTTGGATAGAAGAAGCTTAAAGCAATACAAGTCCATGCTTCTAATCCTCAGGTTCTGCATTGATGGAATCAACCAACCTCAGATCAAAAATATCTGGAAAATACTACATTTGTATTCAATGTGCATAGACTTTTTTCTTATATTTATTCCCTTATAATATAATAACGTTATATAACAGTAACATAATAGTAGATATTATAAGTAATCTAGAGATAATTTCAAGTATATAGGAAGATATTTCTAGATATGGCATTGCATATAAGACATTTTAGTATCCTCAGATTTTGGTGACTTTATGTGCAGGGAGATCTAGAACCAATCCCCTGTGGATGCTGAGAAATAACTGTAATTAAGAGTTTTGGTTGTTGAATGGTCATACATTTCACCATACTGACATGTGCTTTTTAAATAATTTGACAAATCTGGAGAATTGCTTCTGATGAAATGCTATGTACAATAAGATCTTTGAGTTGAAGTTTAAAGCCTATAATTACCAAAAGAAGTTCTCTCTCTTTTTATTGTTTCAAATTCTTGAGATTAAATGATGTTGTCACAGAAAGGTGACATGAAGAAAGACGATAAACTCTGACTAAGCATAAACTGTCTTGTTAATATCACGCTCTGAGCTTTTCTTACTGGGTAGTGAGTGACGTTAGAGTGCATAACCTCCTTTTGTCACTCAGGATGTATGCAAAAAATATTTTTGGGCACTACTGAAAGAACTGTCACAAAGTTGACATAAGAAAGCTATTTTTATGAAAAAAAGCCATGCTTATGTTTTAGTATGTTATAAAATCTTAAATACCATACAAATCTAGTAGATTTATAAATCAGTATTCTCACTTCAATTTAGAGCAAAACAGAAAATACCGAGAGGTGGAACTGATAGTCTGTGAATAAATATCCAGAATGACATACAACCTGATATGATAATTGACTTTTGTGATGGTGGCTCTGAGTCATAAAGAATACATTGAATTATGCTCTGTGCCTATTTAAGAAAGCACGAAGATAAGTAATTATTTTTAGTGTGGTTTCCAACAAAAACGTTCAAAAATAAATTTTTGTATCCATAGAGAGATGAGTGCTTTTCTTTTAGTGAGTACACCTCCAGGCACTGGTGTGCTCTAATAGGTTGTTGTAAAAGGAGTCAGTCATTTGTGTGTCTGTGGAGGCTTTCACTCACTGTCAATAAGAGACAGTTTGCACTTCTTAGTGGTATGAGTAGTTTCTGTGTTTCTAAAAATTATCATCAGATTAAGTTTCTCTCTGATTCATCTATCAATATCCTTATCCTTCTTTTCCAATAAACTAATTTAAAACTTATTGGAGAGTAAAACTTGTTTGTGACTATCAAATAAGAACTATATTCAATTTATTTATACCATCACTATTTGTAATCCCCATTGCTTGAAAAATATGTTATGATTTTTTTTATTACTCTGGGATCAAGAAAAAATATTTAGAATAGAAACAAAGGAACAATGAATTCATGTAATTTTGATTCTGTACAAATATTACACAATATTTGACATAGGTATTATTAATATATGACTTATTGTACAATATGTGGTTGCAATTAATGTAGAAGGAAACATTCTACTTAAGTTTCTTTTATAATTGCTAATGCTGTCCAAGATATGAACATATATTACAGCTGTTCCTTAATATAGAACTCTGCAAAGATTGGTTGGGCTACTCATGATGACTGAATATATTCAGAAACAAACTTATGAGAAGAAACTCACAGGTTTGAATGTTGGTTGATGGTTCCAATGGCTGAGAGGAACTTGAGAACTAATTAAGGTGTAGCAACTTAATGGAGTGTTCTGAAAATAGACTTGAGGCTGGGTTTCACAAGCCTCTGTCCATTCTTACCTAGAACTCATCAATCTCATGTCAAATTGATAAACTGTTTCCAAATTTTTCCCAGGTCTAGGTTTTTATGCTGCAACTCATGCTGTTCATGATAATTTTGCCTCACAAGTGGTCTGACACTGAGTTTAAATTCATGAAGTCACTTTTTTTTTAAAATGGAGCTGTTCTGCAAATAATGGAGACAAAAAAATGTTTTCTCAGTTATTGAGACATTGCTAGGTCAAATTCAGCATCTGAAATCTATGCTTTCATTATTATAATTATGGCAACCAAAAATAATTGATTGGACATTTAACTGATTAACTTGCCATTTGTTTTTTACTTCCACTGAGCCATCAGAACTACCACAATGATGTCATTGATATTTGTTCTTGTAACATGAACCTTATTATAGTTACCCAGCATAAAGTTATAAATTATGTATTAATATTATACAAGCATCTAAAGTTATTAGAAGCTGATTTCTCAAAACTAGGTGTACCTATGATAATAGAAACTATCTGTGTGTTAGATAAAAAAATCTTATCTGTATGTAATTTAAAAAAAGCTGAACTCTTCATGTTTACAAGGTAGTCTGGGATTTCTAACAAAATTAAAAAGAACTTTCTTTTTTGACAAATGTATACACGTGCCAGTGTGGTTTAGGTCTGATTCAAGACACAACTCATTACCTCTGAAAAATGAAGGTCATTTTTCACCAGGAAAAACTTCACAGTATGTACAAGGGAAATAATAGTTCATTATAGTTTATTCTCCATTTAAAAAGAATAAATCCAAAGAAGTTAAAATATTTTAATTAAAATGCTCAAATAAATGAAATAAGAAAAACTGATGTAAGGACTTCAAGTCAGCATTTGTAATACAAATATTTTCAGCTTTAACAGGGCAGGCTGATGTGTTCACATCTCAAGTTCCAAGTGGCCTCATTTCACTAGAAAACAGTGTCTTTTAAAAGCACATTTACCATGCTTTCCTGTCACCCTTGCTGTGTTTGTAGCACCTATAGCCATAACTGGCACCTGGGGTCCTTACTTGCTGGCAGTTTCCCTTGCATTTCTTTGGAGTCTGTTCAACTGCTGTGGTTTTACTTAGAAGTCAGTGCTTTGCATATATGATTTCCTGAGACTGTTTGAATGGTCTTTCTCAGAAAACTGACAGTCTGGCTGTGAGAAGCTTGTCTTTGAGGGGAGTAGACAGTAGCCTGATGTGGTGGGTATGCCTGGACGTCAGTTTCTAACCATGCCCTTCTCTCTCCTTTCCCTAGACCCTTCTCTCTTGTCCCTGCCCTAATGACATCATTGCCCATGTCTTGTCATCCCTTTAGAGAAGAGAACAAGATTTGGACTAGTCTAGTAGAAAAAATTGAAACACTGCTCTATGCAAAGCTCTCACAAAAATAATTTATATTTGTTGTTTTAGCAGCTAATGTGGAAAAGATTTAAATGATAAACAAAATCAGACTGAACAACCTAAATTGCTATAAGGTAATAATCTGTTGTGAAGACAGAAGTTTTCACTCATGATTATAGGTATGAAATTTGGGAGCAAAGGTAACCTTAGATTTCTTGATTTGAGTGTTATTTTTTAAAGATCATCATTTTAACAGTGCAGTTTTGAGACAATGAGAACAAATATGTTTTTAATAAGCTGTAAGCATCATGCTGCTTTGCGGTGCTAAGGTAAAGAAAAGCACTGTTTTATGAAATGGCTCATGTGGGTGTATATGTGCTGGTGTGCTGTGCTGCTAGCGATTCCATGGTCTTCATCCGTATACCACTAGACAGAGAGGAAGAAGAGAGTTAGAATTAGGAAATCAGCTGTCTTCAAAAAGAAAAATATCAAATGATCTCTTATAAGCATATGTGGTATAAAACAGGATGTTTTAATTCCTAAAATAGTTTGTAAATTGAAATGTGATTGAAGAGGATGTCTAATTTTTCCCCAGAGTTTTGCCAAGACATGTTGTTCTGTCCTGCAGAAGTCTCTGATCCACTTTTTCAGGTGCTGAGAAAATCCACCATGCATTTGGCTTTACTGCGCAGTGCTTTAAGCTATGTAAATTCCAATTAAAATACCCAAATCCACTTTCAGATTAGACTCATAGGACACTTGCAACCACATCACATATGCATAGGAAGATTTACCCCATTAAGCACACTTGTTTTAATTAAGTGCTATCAAGTGTCAAATTTGTCTACACTCTAGTTAGATAAGTGATATTAAAATGAGTTTTTATAAAGAAGTTTTCCTTATATGTACCAATGGGAGCTAGAAAAATCTATTTCAATATTACAGTTACATGTTTGACATAAGTAAAGTCAAAAGTCAAACATATTATTTACCAACACTTAGGTTTAACTCTGACATTTAAAAAACATGAATGTATGAAATTCCTTTAGAAGTAGTCTATGACCTGGACAAAATATTATCAACTCATACCTTATTAAATATTGGGGAGTCATTGCTAGGGAGACCTATATTATGGAGACACAAGTTAACTTTTAAAAATTGCTTAAAGCATCTGTGGTTTTGCTTTGAATAGTGGAAAAATCAACCTTAACCTCTTATAAGAATCTAGACCAAAAGATAGGCCTGTTTTTCTCTGTATCAAATCGTCATCCCACTCCTGTATAGTGGACACCATTGGGACTGAGCACACAGAATATCATGTGTTAGAAGAGAGTGGAGAAAAGCAAGTTTTCCAGCTAAAATAGACAAGAAAGCTGCATTTCACACAAAACAATTTAGTTTTGTTTTTGACATACAGACATATATATGTATATTTTTCCTCATAATCTGAAAATCTTTCATGTAGAAAATGAATTTGACTAAATACTCAGAAACATCCTCTGTACATCTAACCATTGCTGACTTTATACAACAAGCCTAATTGTTTATTGCCTGTGTTGCTCAACAAAAGATAGCATGGCAATGGCAAAGCCTAAAGCTTGCTGCTTATTAATATCCCACTGTTGTTAGAATGGCTAGTAATGCATACCAGACAGACATGAGTTTTCATATCGAGCTCAGCTATTATCGTGCTGGTTTCACATTAGAATTACTCTGCCACACATTTACTGAATAAGTGATTACTTTCAAATCAAAATAGAGAACGAACAATCACATGAATGGGAGAGCAGTGTTTTGACACTCACAGAATATGCAATTTCGTGCTTCTCAACCCCAAACTCTCTAATACTACTCTGTGTGTAACTCAAGGATATCACTTCTCCAACTTCATACTGCAAAAATAAAAACTCTCTATTCTGTCCCTGTCTTCTTGTACTTCTGTGGGAAGAAGTAGCCCCCCAAAGAGGAAACTAGACCACTAGACACTTCCTTCCCCCTGCACAAAGCATTGTTGTACCATTGCCTGGAAATCCACTCCAGCATCCACCAGGGCTTTGGAGATCTGTGCTGACTGCTGAAAGTGAACGTTATCTGCAAGGAGAGAAAGGAAACAAGTAGCTAATAGCCTCTCTAGTTTTCTGAAACCAAAGGGAGGGAAGGGCACAAGAATAAAGGGACTGTTTGAAGTTCTAGGACTCAGCATCCCATTTAGCCCAAGACAAGTGAGTTGTGGAAAGCAACACTGTTTTATTGAAGTAAATGTAACAGTCTTGCCCCTCATGCTTTTGTTTTGTCAGTAGTGAAATTGCAAACCTGTCTGTGATACTAAAAAGTCTAATTAACTGAAACTCACCATCTGCTGTTCCATGAATAAGGAGGTACTCAACTTGTTTAAAATTTTCAGCTCTGCTCATGACTGTTGAATTCTGGAATTGGGAAAAAGAATGTCATTATTCAAAAAAGGATCTGCCATAAACTGATTTTTCACTTCAGTTTACAAAATAAAATGTTTTCAGCTGGGGCCCCCTTTGATACAAAATATAGCAAACCGATATTCAAGCAAATGCTGTCTCTATGCATGGCAGAATGCACAGCATGCCCGTGCCTGGGAGACAGGACTGGAAAGGGAGGATATCACATCTTCCCTGCACATGCAGGAAGAGGGCACCTGCCACCCAGGCTGCATGCAAAACTCCTAAGTCCCATGTCCCAGATTGACTGTGTCCTATGCATTAGCACAGGGCAGAGTCTCATATTAGCAATGTATGTTCCATGGGCTTCTGCTGTAGTTCAGCCAAAAAGTGTATTACCATGGCAACCATGTGTCACATGGTGCCATACATGCTACATTTCAAAGAGCCCGTACATAGCATTTGCAACTAAACATACTCTGCAATATGTCATGTGAACTTTGGTCCACATTGCTAGGTTCTGAATGAAAAGCAAATATTACCTCTTTGAGAACAGATGTTTAAAACCCAGACAAATGTAACATATGGGAGGGGAAAGGGGTGAGAAAGATCAAGAATGGCCTTAGAAAATCAGTGAGTGGTTGTTGCCTCCTTCTTTCTGTATATTGGAGAAAATACTATTAGATCAGGTCATTCCCAACCATCCAGGGAAATCAGATTAAAGGACTGAAAGGTTAGCTTTTTTGAAGATGGTTTTGTGGCTGGAGTCAGTTAGAGCTTCTAGAATGAGGGTGAGGGGTCTTGGATGGAAAAGTCTTCAAAAGCACAGAACTAGTCTTCTGATTTTAAATTAGGGCTATATACCAAGTTGGGACTCAGGGGGAAATGCCAGATAAGAGACTGGGTGGTGGCAAGCTAGAGTCTGCTTTGATTGTCCTGTAATGGGTTGGGCAGGCAGAGAAGCAGTTATCGCTCTAGGTTTTTAAGTAGTCAGCTGTCCTGTAGCACCTTGAAATTTCCTGTGACTCAAGATTTGCATTTTACAGATCTCTTTGTAGCTAAAACCAGCTTAATATTTTTGATGGGAGTCCTGTGGTCTGTTAGGAAAGGGGTGGCGCTAATGTCACAGTGTTTGCCTTCCAAACTCAGCTTCAATGTTACTGAGCTGTGCATCTAGAGACCTGCACCTCTTGACCTTGATTTCTGTAAAATGGGAATAAGAATAATTCTCTTATTTCCCATAGAAAAAAGAATGAAAAGACATGGCAGAAGCATTTTTTAGGTTAAATTGCTGTTGCTGGTATGGAAATTCTGTGACACAATATTTCTGGAAGGAGACATTCTCCCTACAGCTTTCAGGACAAGAGTTACCGAAGATGTTTCAGTTGCCCAAAGTTCCCATGATTATCCTGTTCTGGTAAGCTCAGAGTATATGACACCCCACTTCTGTCAGGCTACTTCCCACTTCTCCAGACCATATTCCACTTCTGACCCAAATTCACAATTTATTCAAAAATTTTCAGAACACTCAGAATTCATTAAAAAATCACACTTAAATTTTATTTTAGAGAAACTTTTCATCTGGTGAGATGTTTGAGATAAATCTATCCATTTATCCATCCATCCATCCATTCATTCATCCATCCATTTTTTCAGCTAGTCAATAAACAATTTTTTGCATCTAACTAAACAATAACAACACTTAGAAAAGGGGCTTGCCTATATTCATTATTCTTAGCATCTATACAGTCCTAAATATTTATCAACTAAATGAGCAAATGAAATCATTAAGCAGTGATTCTGCCCAGTGTATATGGTCCTAGTTTTGCAAGCAAGTGGAAACAGCTAAAGTAGGCAGAATAAAATATTCTCATTCTGAAGTTTGCTGAGATGTTTTGCCCACTTTCAAGCTGTACATTACATTAGCAAGAGCTACCATTCAGTGAGCATTTACTCTGTGCCTGTTTCTGTCCTAAGCATTATGAAGGGGTTACAAAAACACTTAAGGAATCCTTACAACGTCTGTGTGAAATAGGTCTACACCAATGCTGCTTTATAGGTGGAGATACTGAGATTCAACAGGTAAGTACCTTGTACCAGGATTCATCTATAGAAAGTATCAGAGTGAGCAAAGTCTGACAGGAAAACCCCTTTACTTTCTATGTTTCTGCATCATCTTTTCTAAAATTCCAAACTGCTTATAATTTGTCTCCCAGGAAAGGAACAGTGTGGAATCAAGTATTAATTAACTGTCCTGGAACTTGAAGTACACAATAATAGTGGGTATTCTGGCTCTTGAGAAGTCACCCATTGTCACGCTGAAATAATTGGAAGAGAGGCTGGTCTGAACAGCCCTGTGGGATTTGGGAGGCATGTTTCCTGACTGTGTATATGATATACAGCCTTAACATAGAGCTATAACTCGGAAAAATTTTCTGCTCTTTAAGAGGAAAGGGTCAAAATAAATCTCCCTAAAAGGCATGGTTGTGCACCATTCAAAGCTGGCCGAGGCTTAAAGATTGACCGTGAACCTTAACACTGAATTCTAGGGTCTTCTGTAGTTATCTTTTCTGCTAGTCATGCTCTCAGCTGGTGCTGACTTCCTCTCACTTTGTTTCTCCCCAAGTAAATTCAGCCCTTTGCTCACAGAAGATAGTTAATTTTAACAGCAGACCTGACCCAGATATATAACTGCATCACCTTACCTCACCTCCAACAGCCTCAAGGGCCTGTGCTGGTTGGCATCACAACAGCAAAAGCTGCTCCTACAACCTCCCTGTGCCATGAAACTGAGAAATCATGGAGTAATAGTTAAGAGACATATAAATACACAGGACAGTTAGCAAGGAATGTGATAACTACTGGAGTTTGGACCAAAACAGTTTCTGGCTGCCTTTTTTTTCTTAAATGGAGTGAATACAGGCTGAAAGAAGACAATTTTTATAAACAAGTAAAACCCCGAGCCTAAGATAAATGTTGTGATGTACACACTGTAGCTGTGATGAACTAGACATGGTGAGAAATGCAACATACTGCGAAAAAGACGAAAACTGTGATAAAAGTGTCATGATGCAAATTGTTTTACATTAACAATATTACACTACAAAGAAAGAAAGACAAATACTTTAATGCAGCAAGAGAAAAATAAAACAAAAGCTTCCCCTGCAACCGTAAGATCAGTGTGCCATTTCAGATGCACACTTCCCCTGTTTGCTCAGGAAAGCCTCAGAGGGACCTTTCTGTGAGAGGGAGACAGGCAGCCTGGAGGCTCACACCCACTCTCAGGCTCTCAGACTGCAGGGAACATTCCCTACCCCATCCCTTCCCCCTAGAAAAATGCAGCTCTGTCACTTTGCCTCTGGAACCACCAATAGATCATCCCTTACTAGACTGTGCCTCCTGGTTTCTCCACCAAGACTCTTTGGCCACTGTATGGCACACTTCAAGCTGGGAAGGTAACACAGAAAGTCAGTGAAAGAAACACATGAATTCATTTGAGGTATGATTAATGATCAGGAGAAAATTAATTGTGCTATTTTAACCCACCCAAATAGCATGATCCCCCATTGCCTATCCATGGAAACAGAAATAAAAAAGGAAATGGATGACTAAGTTAGAAGCCGAATAGTCTATCACCAACTACTAAAAAGGAAGCTCAGAGTGCTAAATGGGCAAGGATGCAATGGTGGTGCAGTTGGCACTCCTGAGGCAGGAAACTTCCGGAGAGCCCTGCTGCCAGCAACAGTCTGGCAAAGAGAAGTGGGAAGGATTGGTCCAGTGGCAGTGCCGATTGATTCCACAGCATCTCTGTGAGGAGCTTTTCCTTCAATCCCCAAGAAGAACCATCTGTAGCTGCTCGTTGGATCATGCTGGTTCCTCAGTTACCTTCCAACAAATAGATCTTTGTATTTTTGAAATAAAAGAAAGAGCTGACGAGTGCAGGGATGTATTACTCTTCTGAGAAACAGAAGGTGTGACAATTTTGAAGTTACTGCTTGTGCCATCTAGGAACCATGAGGACAATTTGAAGATAATAATGGTGGCAGTTGCCATGGTTTGAAAGCTTACTTCATGACAAGCATGAGGGTCTCGTGTTGTCATTTTGGTAACTCAGTGAGGTAGGTCTGATTAGTCCCATTATCCAGATTAGGAAACTGAGGTTAAGTGACTTCCTCAAGATCATACTGCTGTTAAGTGGAGGAAATAGAATTTGGCTATAGGTCTTTCTAACTCCAAACCCATGTCACTGACCATCATACTCTATTGTCTTTTGACATAATAGCCAAACAAATCATCACTGTTCCCAGGCTCTGTAATAAGAGCAGGTAGTCACTGGGTTTAATGGACAACTGGGCAAATGAGCAACAGCCCAGCCATTCAGTAATGTGTGACCTTGGGTTTACTGGCTTGCTCTGGGAATTCTCTTACATACAACCAACGTTACATAAATAATATTAAATGGTGGTGTTATTAATGCCACAGCAGAGGCCACAGAAAACATTTAAGAAAAAATGAATCTAACCCACTCTATCAGATGTTTTACTTGTTTATGTCTATCAAACAACTGCACCCATGAGGTGCCAACGAAGAGCTCCCACCGGCTCCAGACAGGGGCTCTACCTCAGGCCTCACAAGCAACACTGGCTTCTTTAAAGATCACACAGCAGTCAACATTTTATCAGCACTCCACAAACAAGTTACGGTTTGGCTTAAATCTGAAGGTCTCTCTCCCTTTGGCATATTCTGGGATAATAGAACAAATGTCAAATCAGTACAAGATGGCATATTTACAAAATTGCACCCTGTTTTGCATAACCTAACGATGCAGCAGTTCTTAAGGATTGAACATTTCAAATCTGCTAGCAGAAGACTGCCAAATCTATGACTGTTTCATACACTTGCCAAAAGCCTATCAAATTTTGAGCAAAATGCAAAATAAATCTCCTCTACAAGTTAAATCAGCCCTTCTGTGTGTTCCAGGCTGCCCTCTTGTCTTGGCAGCAAGGCTCGGGACTGGGGCCTTCTTCCTCTTGCCCTTCCTCTTGTTTCCCCTCCCAGTATTTGTTCTGCTTATTGGTTACCATTTGGCCTGCTCTTCCCATAGCTTGTCTTCTGTGCTATCCCTCCATCAGTGCACGTGCCTCACAAGTCCCAGGAAAACCACTCTGCTCCCCCATTCATCTGTCTACTCTGCGGCTCTCTACCTCTCCCCTCTGCATAACCTTTTGAGAGCCAGTCTATGCTTTCTTCTTGTCTCCCACCATCTTTCTCTTCTGGACTGTGTCCTCTCCCTTAGCATCTATATGTTGCTTAACATTTTTGTCCCTCAGTTTCTATGTCAGTAAAATGGAGCTAATTAGAATGTTACCTCAGAAGGTTTGGGGGAGTACGGAAACCAATAATCCATGTAAAGAGCTTAGAATAGTGTCTGGCCATAGAAGCACTTAATAAATGAATGAAACTGGATGTCCTCTGATTTAGAGGAGTGGGAGAAGTGAAACTCTAACTTCTTGGCCATTCTCTTTCCCTTCCATAGATGTGCCCCAAAACAGAATTCCTAGGGATTCACAGGCATCATTTGAAAAACTCTAGTTTTTTTCATACATATTGGATACTTTGTCATGTTCAAGTTCATGTTGTATTATCTTCTTTCATTTCTACTCCACAAATTTTTACTTTTTCTTCTACCTACAAGGAACAAATTTTTGAACAGTTAAAACACTTTGAACAGGTGAATGAAAGTCTCCTACATGTTAATGTCTTTTTGCAGGTTTGACAAAAGACTATTTGAGAGTCTGTTCATCAGTACTCATCAGGAACTCACTCCTCAAGGAGTGCTGCTCACATATTGTCAATGATTGTGAAGATTGTCTTCCCCTTGGTTATCTCATTCCATTGCTCTAATCTGTCACCATTTCTGTCTGCTGTAGACTGAGACAGACTGTAGAAAAGATGTGTCCACAGAGCTACACTGCTCATTAGCTCAAAACCAGCTCCTTGGAGTTTTAGAAAGATGCATGTCTTCTTTCTTCTTTGAGTTCCTTGTATTCTTTAGAAGTGCTTCTGCCTTGCCACTTACCAATGGGTGGGTGATATCTCCAAAAATAGTCTTATGGAGTCAGTGCTGCATCGGGTCTAGGTTCCAGAGTCCTCTAATTTACATGACAGCTTTGAAAGAGTAGGGATGAGTGGAGACCACTGTGGTGGCTATGCAGACTGGCTCTCAGCAGGGCACAAGCTGACCACTGCACCTGACATCCCTGCTTGTTGCACCAACTATACAAATGGCTCCTGTAATTCTCTTTCCTTAGCATCAATTAAGACCTTTATTTCATAAGAAGTGCTCCTCTTGATGATCTGGACTCCAAATCTGGATCATTAGTGACCTAATACTGAATCCTTTTTTCCTTTAAATTTTATTGAAAATTGTATTGTCTTCCAAAGGCTGTAATTCTGGCTACCATATCAATGGTTTCTTAGCTGAGAAAGTGGACAAAGATCAAGGCCTTAATTATTGCATGCTTTGGGCATTCCTAACCCTCAGTGTGCTGAAAAGAGTTACTGGTCCAAACTAAATGGGAACCTTTTCAAAATATTTTCTTCTGACCCACAGAAATGCACAGGGTGGTGAAAGCCTGAAGGAATTGTTGAGATGTCTTCTTTGTCTTTTCAAAGAGGGAGGGAAAGAAAGGAAAAAGAAGAAGAGAGAGAGAGAGAGAGAGAGAGAGAGAGAAGAGCAACCTGGGAATGAAAAGTAAAAGATGGGGTCCAGAGGGGCAGCTGGGGCCTTGGAGGAAAATAGAATCTTTCAATGTATTCCTGCCAGAGACAAAAGCACAGGCTCATTTAAAAAACAAAGGAGGGCAGCTTTATTCTAAAGCCTGCTGTGCACCAAAAATAGGCACTTAGATTCAGTTCTCCACTTAGATTCAGTTCTCCACATTCGGAGGAAGCAGCTTAACCACAGTGGAGACAATTCCTTTAATGCATTTGCCCCTCTTTCTCCTGCCCACCTTACCTATCGCCCTCCCAGATAATTCCTCTGAGTAACACATTGGGAACCTTAGCTCCCTGGTACTGGCAGTTTTAATGTGTCCATTGCCAGCAATGAATTTCGTGCCAAGAAAACCCGACTCCTGGCGTGGAAGGATTAAACAGTCCTCGGGTGCCATCTGTGCAGCGAAGTGAAAGAGTGACTTTGTGCACCCAGTGTGCATGTTGCCATTGGCAGTAGGAAGTGACTTCTACTTACATGACTACCTCATGCAGAGAACACCTAAGGGGAGAGATGAAAATGGCCACCACCATGGGGGGTAGAGTTGGGGGGGGGGGTTGAGGTGGAAAAGAGCCTATGGAAAAAACTACAGAAAGATATAGATTGAAATGTCAAATTAAAACTAATTGTGCTATATAATTATATAGGAAGGCCTTGTTAAGAGGTGAGCAGATGTTCTTTGAGGAAGTGAGGCAGGTGACAAGGGCATTCCATGTCAGAGTTTGGACTTGACCCTGTGTTTCAGAGCTGAATGCTTCTTTAGCATGGGATAATTAAAAAATAGGCTTTTTCATTCATATGCACCATTTCCTTAGTCAATTGTTAGGATCATGGGCAGTATATCACTGATGCTTCAGGAGCTTTTGGTACTTTGAGATGGTTAAGGGAGTACTCTGGCAATCAAATTTAAATATTCACATTGGATCACTAACAAGAAAATTCAAGGTGTAAAATGTGAGAAGTGATGGAGATATACAACTTATATCACAGTATTTCCCTTCAAAATTTTTTGATATTGAATCAGGAAAGGTTTAAAGATTTTAAAAAGATTCTTAGTACAGGGCAACCAAAGAATGTAATGCTGAGGAAAGCCTTGAATAACTATCATACTGCAGAGGGGAAAATCCAGTACAAAGTAACTATTAAGTCAAGAAAGAATAATGTGAGGATTAAGAGATATTCAAGGAAAATACCATGGAATCCAAAGGGAGATGCTACGCCACTCGAGAACAATACAAGTTTCCTGACATGTGGAAATGGAGGACAAATGACAGTCCAGGCATAGGGGACAGAGGCCAATGTCACAAAATGAAAAATCACAGGTACATTAGGGAACAGTGAGCCTGCCATAAAAACTAGGCTGAAGAATGACTACTGGATTTATATAAGGACACAAGAAAGTGTTGTGGGTCAGATTAATCTCCTGGCTTTGTGTAGAATAGATTAGAGTATGGGAAGAGAAGGTAGGGGCAAACAAACTGGGCTATTGACCTAAAAGAAGCTAGGTCATGTGATAATAACAATGCAGGTATGAAGAAAAGAGAGGGTGTCTAAAGAGGCTTAGAGGACATGGAGGAGAAAGAGTGGGAAGAAATGAGTATGAATTATCACATGGGACCATTACACAGGGACAAGCTGGTTATGGGACAACTTTGTAGGGGAAAGATGACTTATGTGTTATCTCACTTTGAAGATTATTACTTTATTATTATTATGACTGAAAAGCATAGATGAAAACACATGCAGGTACCAACACACATTTCTCCTTTCTACAGACTCAATAATTAATGTTGAAGGTAAAAGGTAAAATGAAGTATACATATCTTACAAAACTAGAAACTTTTGACTTTATTGTATTTTGATCAGATGATTTCAGAATCCATAATCATGTTGACATCTTACAAAACTGTACAGCTATTGCTCAGAGCAATGCTCTGTGTATTGAGTTATGACCCAGATGAAGAGAATTTATGTTCTTATGTCATTCTTTTAAATTTACTCTCCTGGTGAAAATATATGCCCTAATTTATGACAATATTAACAATGATCAATTACTAGTTGCTTATTTAAATCATATTTTATTTTATGGGCAGGTTGGGATTTATTATAATGAAAAGAAGAATTCAGTATCAGTAGTTTTAGAGAATGGAGACATCAGAGATGACTGATATTGTCATTCAAAAATTTTAATTTTTATCCCCAACTATCATAACAAATAGAATCAAGAAGGTGTTAGAACTGTCACAGTGCTAGAAGGATCCCTACTACTTATGATGGCATTTGCAGCTGCATCAAGGTGGGCACCTTGCTCTGGCTTTGCCATGGCATCCACACTAGCAGTGATAGCAAGCAATGCTACAGTAAGACCATATTTCAAATGCTAAGCGCAACTGCAGAGCAACCTACCCATCAAGCAAGCAACCTGTTGTATGCTATTAGGGTCAGACTTTTCAGAGTACTGACCCAGATGTTCCTACCTCTCACCTACTTTACCAAATCTTGTATAAAAACACTCCTTGGTTGGCTATGAGTAAGCATGTTTTCTAAATTGAAATTTTTATAATTAAAGTAATTATCTGGTGTTGCTTTGTATTTCCAAATGAATGCATATTGTGACCTATATAGTATGCAATAAAGACTGTAATTATGCAGAATATAGTAAGGGAAGATATTGGAGTATCTCTAAACCACCTGCGTTATTTCTTTTTAACAAGAATTTTGTTGGAAATAAAAAATATTTTTTTCTAAAATAGATATATTTAAAAAGTTCTTACACCACTTATAAATAGGTTATAAAGTAGTCCTACTCTCTCATCTCCTTACCCTGTAATGGCCAAGGTTGTCTTCTGGAGTTGGGAGACCCATGTAACGTTCTGTGTATACTGAGTCTGTGATGGAAAAAAAGAAAAGAGATTAATTCCTAAATAACAACTTTTCTTCTACTTATTAACTTACTGAGTTAATTTACATGTTTTCTTGTGTCTTAACTTTTGCATAGGTATATAGTGTTACTCTCAGAAGCATCTTTTCCACCTTTGTCTTGTTAATGTACACAGAGATGCTATAACCCAGACTACCTCTCAGATTCATACTTTTTCATACTGAGTCCTAACCCATTCACATTAGCCTTTATCATAGGGGAAGGAGCAGATCAAACTAGATGATCTAAAACCCAATCAATAATTCATCTGCAGAAAAGTCAAATGTGAAGTATGACCTACTCAAAGAAAGTAATTTAATACCTCAAATGCCTTGAATCTCTTGGTACTAAGACAAATATATGCCCTAATTTGTGAAATTATCAACAATGATAAATTGCTAGCTGCTTATTTAAATCATGTTTTATTTTGTTGGCAGGTTGGGATTTACTATAATGAAAAAAAAAGAATTCCATATCAGTATTCATATTAGCTCGGCTACTCCATAGTAATGCAAGTTAAGCATTTGTTCTCCCTCATTTTATGGAGAGGACTCAATTTTTGTGTTATAGCACTTCAGCACTGTGAAACATTACATTATTATCTGTCTGCTGAAATGATAGAAGCTCTCATATCTATAAATATGGTAGGACAATTGGTTTGTGTAATCGGTTTAGTTATTTAGGATAAACATATTTTTGCCAATTAAAAAAATAAAAGTATGCATTGTCTATATATTTGCCCTAAAATATGAGTAAGAAAATTTATTGTGGGCAAAATCCAACAGAGCTTCAGAAATCTGACAAAATTGTTTAAAACTGTCCTCTTAAGTGATCAGATTAGTATAAATAAGAATATTTTGTCACTGTGCTGAAAAGGTTAATGGTATGAATATCACTGAATTATACAAGTATTTCAGAATTGACTGTTTATTCCTAAAGTGGATCTATGATCTGAACTCAGCATCCTAACACTTTTGAATGACTGCCTATGTAGATTGAAACTACACTGATGAGTATTAGTTGCTCCACATGTATTTTTTATGCCATTTCTATAAAAAAAAGTTATTTTCTTCCTAAATGAGTAATAGCAATTTTTATTATTTTGATTAAAATGAATAGACTACATATAATTTTATATGTCTGGAGGACAGTCATAGAAAATATATTTTAAAGGATATTTTAAAATATAAGATCATCATAAAGCATTCATATATTTTTAAAATTTAATAGTTAAATAACAAAGACTTAGTTCATATATTTGATAAGGAAAAAATGGACTTTAAGGGCAAAATATATTTTCCTCAAACATCTGCAGCCCTCAGATCTGCTTGTTTTAGAACATAATACCCCTTCCTTATTTATATTAACCAGGTTTACATGTATAAGAAGATCTGAAATTTTAAAAATAACATTTAAAAAATATTATGCATAACTGCAGCATGCATCTGTGAACTTTTAGAAATATGCCTTGAAATACCACTTACATGTTTCTTTTATATAATCTTTGAATAAAATTGTCCAAGTTTACACATAGATTACAAATGCTATTGAGTTTCCATGTATTAAGCTGGTCCATGTGTATTTAATGAAGTTTTCTTCTCATTATATATTTTTAAGCTCACAAAGATTGTTCTTATTATTTTATTGACCACCAGAGGTCTCCAAAAATAAGCCATGTAACTGGACAATTAATATCCAGCAGAAAAGTAAAATATAAAATAATTCTATTCTGTGCTAATCAAGTGGTATCTATGGCCTCTGTTTTGTTTTTTAACAGAAAGATAACAGTATGTCTTAGACATTCGCTTCTCTTGGCTGGGAGAGGCTGAAAGAGCCTCAATCATATAAAATATGTAATAATCATATTCACTATCAATGATGCTACCATTACACTACATAAAGGATTGCAAATGGGGTCAGAGGAAATGCAGGAAAATGCTGCATTTCCTCCTCACATCTAACTTTTCCCTCCCACCTAGTCTTCCATTGGGTATTGCAGCCCTACAGGTTATGAGTCCTTATAGAATAATATTTTCTGATATTCTAGAGAATCTCTCACTCACTAAAAGATAGTGGGTCACACACATACCTATTTCATCTGTCCTTACTCATCTCTTTTCCCCCAGAGCCCAACTTATATTTGACCTTTACTTGAAGGGTAAAAGATAAACATTTCCATTATTCTGCTAATATATACAATCCCCAAAAAATCAAATTAGAATAAAGATATGGAAGAATTAATCTGAGAAGCATAGCATTGGGGCTGTTTTGAAATTTGGAAAACAGAATTTGTGATAAGAAGTTAAGTGTATAGATAATATGTAATTTCACCCAGCCTTGTATAACAGCAGAATAAATGAAATCATCTTACAAGAATCCATACAGAACCTCAAAGATGAATCGGCCTATTATTTGCTGTAGAAACACAGACACTCAAAAATGAATGGGTTTCACTGCAGAAACTTTAAGGTCAACCCTGAGTAGTTCCTTGACAGCACTTACATACCATAGTACTCCCATCGTGACACAGGTGCTACTGCTATTCCACACTTGAACACGCCACTCCCCGATCCCAGGACCATTGAGGTTACGTACCCTCCATATGACTAAGGAATGGAAACAGTTATTTTTATGGAGGTAAAGGAATAAGGACATATGGTAAGCGAGTTGCAGTTTCCACATTTCTCACATCTTTATATACTGTGCCTCTTTAGAGATAGAAAGCATGGTATAGGAGGCTTAAATTGGCCTTAATTGGGCAGTATCTAAAGAATATAATTTCAGAGGCCTGATCCTTTCTCCTTGTAGATGTAGAGAGAAAAACACAGAACATTTGTTGACTCTAGTGACTGCATAGTACCAATTAAAGAAAAATAATAAGTAAAAAACAATAAACACAAAATCTTTACTGACTGACTCTTGCAAGGTCTCTTTTCTTCCCTCCTCTCTCTCCCTTTTCCTCTCTCGCCTTTTCTTGACCACCTTTCTTTCTTCTCCTCTTCTTAACTCCTCCCCTCATCATAATAAACAAAAATGCAAGTCTGGCTCAGAGACTCTAGAAAGTTACTGCCCTGAGGTCCCTGACTTGATAGACATGAATTTCAAGTCCAAATATTTATATACAAAAGATAAATTAACCTTTTCTGGGTTATATTTGCTAAGAAATGCATACAAATTTGCCAAACAACTACTCACCCAGCCCCAAATTGCAATTCGTTCAGTGTCCACAAATCCCATTTTTGAAAATTGTCTAAAATACATGAAAGAAGTCAGAAAAATCAGTTCTGCATTGTGTAAAGAAAACTAAGATTACTGTACAAATGTGAGATCCTGACATTTTTATCTCTTTCATTTGATTTCAAACCAAGATGAATCACTGCGAGCAATCAAAAACACCTGAAACACATGTCTACCATACTAACTTAAGATCTAGACAAATAAGGTTTCCTTTTCTTAAAGTCCATAAAAACTGTGTGTGTGTGTGTGTGTGTGTGTGTGTGTGTGTGTGTGTGTGTGTATGATTCACAGAAAACAAATCCTGGCAGTTTTTTTCACAGCTTTATATAAAAATTTGCAGCCCAGATGCACTTTTCTTTACATAATTGAATTCAAATCTCTCCAGATGTTTTTCAGTTTGAGAGTAGCAGCCCCTGCAATGGAGAAAGATAAGGGCAGGGAGAACATCTGGGTAGGACTTAGAAATGTCTCTGGCCCCCTACCTGAGAATTCAAACACCGTTGTCTAAGTCAGTTCCTTCCTATGATGGGTGTTGATTAGCTAGCTCAGCACCATTAATAGAAAGCACATTCTCCTTGATGTATTAAGTCTTTTTGCCACCAAACTGTGTTTGGGATTTGAAACCAGGAAAAAGCAATGAAAAATATGTTTTATGCATCTATTTTTTATTCTTATGTCAAAGGTAAAATTTTGACTTAAAAAAGTCTAGCAAGTGGAACATTTAGCTTCACGGCATCATGGGTGATCTGGGGCCTTTGCCTTAATGTGTGTGTAACTTTGAATCTTCATGTTTTCAATGGATGATATAAATCCAAGTCAGCTGAGTTAAGCAGCACTAGAGAAAATTAAAATTAGTTTTCAGCTCACCTCCCTGTTAAACTCTTTAGATATGAAGAATCATACATACAGACATGTTCAGTGAATCATGAGCACACAAGTTGGCAAACCTTTACAAAGTTAATGTGGCCTTGAGACTATGGCCTATGTACACTGTCACAGCTTCCAATCATAAATGAAATTCTCCTCTTTTATTGGGTTCCTTAAAAAGCTCACCTGAGTTTGGACCTGATTCTGAACTTCCTATAAATGGGATCATTGTATACTTTTGTGTCTGGCTTCTTTCATTCAACCTTGTGAGATTCACCATGTTGTTATATTCAGTTCTTTTTGTTGCTGGAATATTTTTTCATTGTGTAAATATACTTCATCTCATTATTTTTAACTGGAGTTATATTCTACAGATACTCAGTTCTGTAACTTTAAGACTTTTGTAGGTCAGGTTCGGGAGATCCTGGAAACTTTGTTTCCTCCCATAGAAGACCAATCTGGAGAGATAAAAACTTATTTTTAAAATATCAAAGCCTCACTCTTAAAGTTATCTTCTCTCTAATCTAAATCTCTGTTTTTAATTTTTAAGAAAAACAGTTATTATTAACATTGGTATAGGGAATTAAATTGTCTATCATCTCCTCTTCTCTTATTTGGTTGTTTCCTCTTTGTAAAGACATTTTCCTCCATCCATTTAATCACTCATGGATATTTCTACATTCCCTAGTCTATGATTTCACTACATTGTCTCAAACCACCCGACTTATTAGGATTACCCAGACATCCATGCAGTTGGTTATAGAAACTCAAAGATTTCCCATTTATCAGTTGAATGCAGCTCAACAGAAGAGTTGGAATAAGACTGAGTCCCAATCCTGATTCATCTTGAGAAGATATCTAAACTAAGAGTCTCCATTTCTTCACCTGAAATAAAGGATAACAGCACCTTCTTCCAGGGCTGCTGTGCAGCTTTAATGGGAATGCCTACAAGCAAGACACTTCACATGTTACATGCATATCTGGCTCTCTTAAGCCAGATCACATCAATTAACAGGCCCATAAGTGAAGGGCAGAAGAATGAGTGGTGATTTATACTTGATGAAGCCCTTATAATTTTGACCCGTGATGGCTGCACTCTATAATTTTCCCAGAATAGAAAAGATGCTCTTATCCAGACTGTAGGAGCCTCTCCTAACACTTCATACTTGTAATCTCCTGCAATGTAAATGTGTACTGAACTTCTCCACTTAGCCTTGACTGTAAGGGATGACATTGAGTGTTTAGCCAGAAGTATACTTGGTGTGATGGTTAATAATTTTGATTGTCACCTTGATTGGATTGAAAAGCACCCAGAAGATTTAAGGGGGTATTTTAAGAGGATTGATTAAGGGTGGAAAATTGGCTCTGAATGTGGGAAATACCATCCTATTGTCGGGGGGTCTAGATGGAATTTTAAAAATGGGAAAAGAAAAAGCATTTGCTCCAGGCATTTGCTCTCTTTCCTTGCTGTCTGCAATGAGGTGAGTAGCCACTATCACATGCTTCTACCACTATATCATGATGTTCTATCTTACCATGGGCCCAGAAGCAATGAAGCCAAGAACTATGGACTGAAACCATGAGTCAAAATAAATGATTGCTCCCTTTAAGTTGTTTATGCCAACTATTTTGTCATTGTGATGAGACTCTAATACAGAAAATTGGTATCAAGAAGTGGGATCATTGCTGTGACTACCAGACCATATCTTCCAGAGCTTTGGAACTGGTTTGTGGGAAGAATTTGAAAAAGTTTAGAGAATCAGGCTAGAAAAAGCCCCAAGTGCTAGGAACAGGTCTTAATGGGCAATTCTGGTGGTAGTTAAGAAGTCCAGCATGTGGATAGAAATACGAACAGAAAAGACTGTGCTCATGAGGTTTCAGATCAGAACGAGGACTTTACAGGGAATTGGACTAGAGCTCATTTTGTGCCATAGCAGCAAATAATTTGTCCACATTTTATAAATGCTGTAAGACTTTTCAGAAGGCTGAGTTTAAAGGTAATGGACCAATTAATCTAATAGAGGAAATTTCAAGGCAGCCTAGTATTCAGACTGTGGCATGGTTATGGGTGGCTTCTTTTAACTAAGTTTACATTGAGAATTATGAGCAAAAAGCAGAGAAGAAAAAGTCTGAAAATGTTTTCAGTTGGTCTAGAATCAACAGAGCCAAAGAGTATGGACAGAAACCTCTAAAACTGTGAGCCAATATAAATCCTTCCCCATTTAAGTTGCTCGTATGAGGCATTTTGTCAACAGCAACAAAAAGTCTGACGAACACATTCAGGATACCGGCATTGCTCAGTTTATCCATGTGTTTGATGAATTTCCAGTCTCTGCTCTTAGCAGGCAGTAGTATATATGCCAACTCCCTTTCTAGAGTGCATACAAAGAGAAATTCAGGAAATGATTTGTTTCAAACTTCATATAAATCTATAATGATATAAATTTTAATCTAAATACAGTATCTTCGTTAAAAACCTATCACAAGGGTGAAAGATTATAAGCTCATTCCAGCACCTTTACATTCTTTACACTTTATAACTTTAAAAGATAAATCAAGGGGAATAAAAGTCAAATGGCCTTTTAAGTCATCTCCCAGCCACTCACCTGGCGGCTTCAATTTGATCTTCAACTTCAAATGTTCCTAGTCTTCTGTTGATTGCATGCATGATCTTATCTCCTTGGTAACCACTTCCTCTGCCATCAAAGCTAGCTACTATGATGTTTTCTGTGCTTGCAAGGTAAGTGGCCCAGTTGAGTCTGAAGACAGCATCTGCTTTTTGACTACAGGGGCCTGCGTATCTGTGAAAATTCCAAATTGTTAGTCCTCACAGTTTTTCTGAATCAAATGCAGAGAATCTGCATTTCTCTTTCTTGTGGACAAAATGTGTGCAACTTTCCCCACCATGAACCTGAAGTCATGCCAGCTGCTTGACTATCCAGAATGAGTTCTTTAAATCTGGCAACATGAGTTTAGTGGCTGTGTGTTCCCTTCAAAAATGCCCATCAGTTTTGTCTTTGACTATCATCAAACACAGATTTCATATTCTAAGTATAACATAATCTTGGAAATCAAAGAAATAATTTCTCTAATATAACTTTTCTAATAGTGGGGACAGGGAAGTTTTGTTATGAAAAAATGATGATGGCAATAAATGCAGCTTTAAATACACCTTTCTATCTCAGCTTAGACATGCTTATAGTCTACAAGTTTCATTTCCTAAGTTGAGACTTCTTTAAGGACATTGCTGCATCATATACTTTCAAATTCCCTAAGGATCATTGTGGAATGGATCATGGTGTGATTGAATGCTATTTATATGAACGCCCCAAGCTGGGTGTGGTAGAACACACCTGTAATCCCAGCACTCAGGTGGCTGAGGCAGGATAAAAAGTTTGAGGTCAGTGTGGCTATACAGTGAGACCTCATCTCAAACAGAAGAAGGTGAAGGAAGAAGAAAGAGAGAAAGAGGAAGAATAAGAAAAGAAGAAGAAGAAGAAGAAGAAGAAGAAGAAGAAGAAGAAGAAGAAGAAGAAGCAGCTGCTCAAAGGAGAAATACAATCTTGTATTGGAACATAGGTATGTTGTTCAGAAATTTATTTATTGACAATTTTAATTCCCTGTATTTGCAACCTCTATAATCTACCCACAGCTGTAAGCAAATCTCTATCAAACCCTCTCATTCCTGTTTTTAACTAAAAGACTTTCTTCATAGTTCACTGTATCTTATTTAAATATGTCATCTTTGCATGAGCTACAAGACTCTTGGACACAGATCTCCAATCGAGCCCATCTCTCCTTCTCATCCACTCACTGTTGCCCACACAAGAACAGACAAACTCTTTGCTAACATTTTCTTCTCTCTTCATAGAAATGGCAGTCAAAAGAATTTTTATTTAAACAAAATATCGTATTATTTTAATTTTAAACTAAATGTTGTACCATTTTAAACTTAAACAGGGGAATGTACTCATGTAATCTTAGACAGTGAAAAATTTTCATAACATGTGAAATGTCTTAGCCCTGTCAATGATATTAAACTTGGTAGATTAAGAGCTCATCTTAATGTTAGGTATAAATTAAGTTACCTACCTCCAAAGTTAAGCAAGCCTATTTTTAAAAGTTGAAAGCAGACCTGAACCTCAAAACAGAGGTAGAGGAAAATAACTGAACAGAAATGGGCACTGAATTTACCTTTCTTTTTAACCCTCCTTAATTACTTACAAGGGAGTCAAAGAAGATAAAAAGATCACTATTTTCTGTCAGATGCTTTTTTAGTATTGGAGAAAAAGTCTAAAACAAATTAGTGTCATTAATGAGTTTGACTTCATTAAGTAAAAATTAGGCTTAACAAAAATCGATATATCTGGAAGTTTAAAATACTTATCCCTTTCTTTATGTTTTGTTTTTATGGAACTGTGAGTATGGTGGAACAAAACTATGTCTGATATTAATATCTGTGCCTTTTTTCTAGTAAAAACAGAAAAATTATGTTCCTGAGTTTCAGTTTCTCCTCCATATGATTGGCCAATAGAACTCACCACATGAATCTTTTGTGTGAATAAAGTAAGGCAAATTAAGCACCTTACTTATGGCAGACACCCATCCTATTTGTTGCTTTGCTTTCTTTTGTTTTTTCATAAAGAAAATGATATATGCTATGACAGGAAGAGTGTGGAATTATGGGTGAGACCAGGACAATTTTAGAAGGATGATGTCAACTGTATTTTTACTAACTAATAAAAGATATTTTATAAGGCTGTCATATTCAGAATTCTTGAGTTCACATTTACTCTTCAGAAACTTGTGATTTTAGAACTTTCACTCAGACTTGAAGAAGTTTGCATTATAATGAACATGCTCCTATATCATGTCTCCTCTTTACTAAAAGGGGAATTGGAAAATACCAGGCAGTAATACTGTAAGAAGTGGAAGAGAAATTTGAGGCCCTAATGAGTCAAAGGCAACAAATGGGAGCTGTTTGGGAAAGTTAGGGGTAAGGGGATGTGACAACTGTTAGTGCCCATCTCTTATTTGTTGAAGTGTCCAAGAGATAAGAATGAAAATGGAGACTTGAGAATGATTGGGGAATTCCCTTGGATATTGGAAGCACAAAACAAAAGGAAAACCATATGATTATGACAGAAGAAGAGTGTCTAGCTTGTCTATTAGGATGTTGTCTATAAGATAACATAGGTTGGGGTTTTGTTTTTTTTTTTTCATTTTTCTTTTATTATTCATATGTGCATACAAGGCTTGGTTCATTTCTCCCCCCTGCCCCCACCCCCTCCCTTACCACCCACTCCACCCCCTCCCTCTCCCCCCCCTCAATACCCAGCAGAAACTATTTTGCCCTTATTTCTAATTTTGTTGTAGAGAGAGTATAAGCAATAATAGGAAGGAACAAGGGTTTTTGCTGGTTGAGATAAGGATAGCTATACAGGGCATTGACTCACATTGATTTCCTGTGCGTGTGTTACCTTCTAGGTTAATTCTTTTTGATCTAACCTTTTCTCTAGTTCCTGGTCCCCTTTTCCTATTGGCCTCAGTTGCTTTAAGGTATCTGCTTTAGTTTCTCTGCATTAAGGGCAACAATGCTAGCTAGTTTTTTAGGTGTCTTACCTATCCTCACCCCTCCCTTGTGTGCTCTCGCTTTTATCATGTGCTCATAGTCCAATCCCCTTGTTGTGTTTGCCCTTGATCTAATGTCCACATATGAGGGAGAACATACAATTTTTGGTCTTTTGGGCCAGGCTAACCTCACTCAGAATGATGTTCTCCAATTCCATCCATTTACCAGCGAATGATAACATTTCGTTCTTCTTCATGGCTGCATAAAATTCCATTGTGTATAGATACCACATTTTCTTAATCCATTCGTCAGTGCTGGGGCATCTTGGCTGTTTCCATAACTTGGCTATTGTGAATAGTGCCGCAATAAACATGGATGTGCAGGTGCCTCTGGAGTAACAGTCTTTTGGGTATATCCCCAAGAGTGGTATTGCTGGATCAAATGGTAGATCGATGTCTAGCTTTTTAAGTAGCCTCCAAATTTTTTTCCAGAGTGGTTGTACTAGTCTACATTCCCACCAACAGTGTAAGAAAGGTTGGGGTTTGTGAATGCAAAATGGAAAGAACTAGTAATCAGTGATTCAGAAAGAGAGAGAGGATGCTTTTGGCTTTTTTTCCCCCAGTAATCTATATGTGGCATATATATATGTATGAGACTTTTAATGCTTAACTGCTAAATTTCCTCCCCTCTTGAATACTTACACTTCTAACAGTAGAGGATATTTCTTGGATTTATCAAAGTGGGAAGGCAAGATCATCTGATACCAAAATTCTAAAAGAACAGAAAGATTCATTAGTGGGAGTTAAGAACAATTATTAGCTTTCGTTCCTTACTTCTGTAAGTGATGTCATGCTTAGAGTCTAGCAATTTGTTAAATTGGAACAGAAGAAGAAATGAATTGCTTGAATTCAGCATGATTTTAAAACACAAAAATACTCTGTCAGGTTACAATACTACTTAATATTAAAACTGAGTATATCTCCAAGAGTGATATTGCTGGATCAAATGGTAGATCTATATTTAGATTTTTAAGAAGCCTCCAAATTATTTTCCAGAGTGGTTGTACTAGTTTGCATTCCCACCAGCAGTACATCATTCTGAGTGAGATTAGCCTGGCCCAAAAGACCAAAAATTGTATGTTCTCACTCATATGCAGACATTAGATCAAGGGCAAACACAACAAGGGGATTGCACTTTGATCACACGATAAAAATGAGAGCACACAAGGGAGGGGTGAGGATAGGTAAGACACCTAAAAAACTAGATAGCATTTGTTTGCCCTCAATGCAGAGAAACTAATGCAGATACTTTAAGGTGACAGAGGCCAATAGGAGAAGGGACCAGGAACTAGAGAAAAGGTTAGTTTGAGAAGAATTAACTTAGAAGGTAACACACATGTACAGGAAAGTAATGTGAGTCAACTCCCTATATAGCTATCCTTATCTCAACTAGCAAAAACCCTTGTTCCTTCCTATTATTGCTTATACTCTTTCTTCAACAAAATTAGAGATAAGGGCAAAATAGTTTCTGCCTGGTAGCGAGGGGGTAGGGGGAGGAGAGGAAGGAGACAGGGGGGTAAGGGAGGGGGCAGGAGAAGGGGGGAGAAATGACCCAAACATTGTAATGCACATATGAATAAAAGAAAAAATAAATAAATACAACAAACTTTTGTGATATATTAAATACATTGGTGCCTTCTAAAATAAATGTGCATCTTAGGATTTCTAATGTTTTGTTTTTATAATTCTGTTCTTTGGCATCTGATCTACTTATCTAAAAAATTTGTTTATGGCGTATGTTCTAAGTTTTCCTCCAAAATGTTTTCCTCTACTTGAATTTCCTTGAAACTGTTTAGAATTTGTAGTTGGCCCCAACTCTATTCTAAAATTCTGATTTAATAACATTGTTATAATTCCTATTTTTCCATCCCTGACCACAAAGTTGGTTTTTCATTTTCAGCTCTGGGTTTCACAGAATGAAGTCAGGCTTCTATAGAGCCAATTGTTAGATATGTTCATATGACCTTCTGCAAATTTGTTTTTGCACTTGGTTTAACACCAGTTTAATAAATTTGTTCCTAAATAATGAATTAATTTCTTTTTCAAATTAAAGATGAGTAAGACTAATAAATCTAAAAAATGTGTTTTCTCATATTTACATAAGATTATTCCTAGCTTCAATACACTTAAACTATAGGTAAAAAAAAAAAATCCGTGTCTCCACAGTCATTTCTTACATTTACTTCCCTTTTTGTTTTTAGTTGATCTTATAATTATTTTGGTTAAGTAGAATAAAAGATTTAGTAGTAAAATCTTTATATAGACAGATTTATTTTCAGTTCGTGTTTTGTTGAATATTTTATGCCTTCTGATTAAATGTGCTTGTAAGTCTCTATTACAATTTCAATAAAATATCATATGATCAGTTGACCATTATATTTTTAATGAATTTTGAGGTCACCATTTGACCTTTCTTTGTCAGAATCAGCACTAATGGATTAAAAGGGATTTTCTCTCCCCCACATTTTTTGCAAATGTACAGTCACTCTTTGGGGGTGGTTGTTCTAGTCTGCAAATCCCACCTTCCTTGCTCCTTTCTCTGGACCCAGCTTTCAGTCCTCCTGCCCTGTAGTGTGAATGGTTATAACAATCTCCCAGTGGGAACCCTTTCTCTTGCTCTGACAGCACCATCTTACAATCTCTATCAAGTATTCCCTATAAACATGTAGTTTCCCTGACGCAAAGATCTTCAAAGTTCCTACTGGTATCAACTGAATTATCATGTCACATTTCAGTATTCAATGTCTTTTGTATCAGGCTGCTAATGTTAGTTCCTGACATTTAAGCCTGGCTCAGGACCAGGGTCACTGTCTCAGCTCTTAGTTTATTAGCAGTGTTGGATCCTGTATCAGTCCTGACCTTCTGGGTCAGAATGTATATATTAACAAAGTCCCAGTGAGCCATATGCACATTCAGTTTGAGTAGCACTCCCCTGAGTTACTCCTCAGAGATACACTTTCTGGGGCCTGTCCTATGAGTTAAAATGAGATGAGATGAATATTTTCTAGTTATCCTAAATTAAAAAAACAAAATACCTAAACTAAATCAATCCAGCTGGATTTCTCCCTTCCCTATAAGTTGTTAGCCCTTAGTGAAAAAAAAAAAAATAAAAACTAAACTAATAGCTTTTTTTCTCAAAGAAACCTATTGCTCTTAATGGTCCCTGAATACGATCCATGATTAGTCTACCAAGCCTGGTTCTGGACTAACTAGGAGAGAGAAGGAGGGAAGGAAAAATTAAAGATTTCTCTTTTGAGACTGAAGCATCAGTATTTAGTAAACAATCCCAGGTTTTTAACATAATCATATCAGATATTTTCCATCTCTGTGCTTTAAAGGCAAAATATATTAGGTATAATTTAACTTAATGATAGTATTTTTTAATAATTAATACTTACTAGTAGAACAGAATGACTAACTGGAAGAACTGACTGATCAGAAGTACATTTTCTTCAAATACTTTTCCTTTTGACAGAATAAACTTTACATAGAATGGTATTATATTTTAAGACAAAAGAATGCAAAATTAGTAGTTCTTATGCAGAACATTTCATGGAAAAATAGCCTTTCAAGTTATATTTATGTAATATAAAATGAATATTTTCAGACCAAATCATTACATTAGTTCTATTTTATTGATGTTTCCATGCAAAGTCCTATTCTGAAAGAAATTTAACTTACTTGTTTCATTCAAAATAATGAAGTCCAGTTTTTTTGAAGGCATTTGGACATCCTGCAGCATTTCATCCAAAGCTGAATTGTCTTCCAAGGCTCTTAGTTCTAAACAAATACACGAAACAGCAATAATTCATTACAAGAATTTAGGTTACACAATACAATAATGAGCAAGCATGAAATGCACTGATCAGATGAACTGAATGTACTTCAGGTTATAAACCTTGTGTTCAAATCATCGTTAGGTGACCAAGGAAAATTACAGAATGCTAAGTACATTATGGTCCTGTTCACACACACTTGCCTAAAAGCAAATATGAGCAGATACCTTTATCATTTGTGCTGCTGTGGAGCGTATAGAGGGGCAGACCAGGACCTGTTAACATAATCAGGGAAAAATATGTTTTAGATGAATACAGGGTAAATAACTTTTCAAAAATATCATTTATATAACATTGATAGAACCTGTGATAAGTATCACAGTGGATAAGCAGCTTAATAAATGCGAGCTGTGCTTCTTCTTTTCCCTTAAAATAAGTGCAATCGAGTGCAAGAAGTATTACTGGAAAGGCATGGGGCTTACAGAATGGTGTGGGGAATGAACCTCTGCTCTGCTATGCATCCTGGGCACTTCATCATCTCTCTGCTCAATTTCCCCATCAGCAAGCTGAAGTAAGTAGTTCCCCAAGCTTTATCGGCCATCCCACGCTGACCACACTACCTCTCAGGCCCTGCACTCCTTGGTGGGCAGAGCTCTGGAGCCAGCTTCACCTGAGGGGAGATTGGTTCTCCCCAGGGACATCCCCACTGCAAGGAGTCCTGGAGCCAGGAGGCACATCTGTAGTGCCTGACTTGGATAAGCGATTCCTTCCTGGCATGAGGAAGTGTTTTTCTCACAAGCCCTTATCTTCACTATTTATCCCAACTGTGGTGGTTGTGAGTGGAAGGTAATGTATAGGAAAGCTATTTTGTGAGCTATTTAATTTTGATGTGTTTGGATGGTAATCTTTATATCAGATTGAAACCACAAGATTTTCATGGAAGATATGGGTTTGGATCCTGGCTGACTTGCTGGGTGACTTTTGATAACACATCTATGCCTCAATTTCCAAGCATATAAAATGAGGATAATAATTTGTACTTTATGGAGCTTTCTGAAGGGTTTAACAAAATCCTGAATATCAAGCTTTCAGCACAGTGCCTAATAAAAAGCACATTCCCAAAAATGTAACAAAAAACAGCCATTGTAAAGAACTATAATGAGAGATGTAAAAATAAAAAAGAATAGTGAGGAAGGAGTCACATAACCAGTTTGCAGCCCTCTTTTTCACCACTGACAATTGTTTTCAGAGTATCCAGATTCCTCCTCTCATTTTGAGGGAAAACCCGATCCAGTGTTTAGAAGGGAGGATGCAGGAGGCAGAGGCCTATGTTTGAATTCCGTTATACTCACTGTGTGGCCTGCATTACCAACTGTGCCTCTTCTTGTTCAGGTTTCTTCGTTTTTAATAATGATAGCAGTAGCAACAGAAGATAGAGCAGAAAGCATATTGGGTGACAGGTGCCACTCACAGTTTCTCATTTAATTTAAGGGGTGCATGCATAAACTAATCATTTAAAATCCATCATATGTGAATATACAAGAATGAAGTCTTCTGAGGGGAAGAAAAGGTATTTGTACTTACCACTTAAATATGAGTGGACAGAAAGGGACTGAATGATTTCAAGAGCTCAGGTTCAAAAGGAGAGAGCTGAGCAGAAAAGAAAGAATGGGTACCAGAAGGGAAGCATCAGGCACAGTAAGCCAGGCCCAGGTGGGTGATTGTCCAGAGAGGTGAGTGGAGGAGAGGTCAAGCATACTAGCTGAGAGAATGGAGGAAGCTCCTTCCAAGGAACAAAGGAGTCATACTGCCAGCATCCTCCCTCAGTCAGAGCAAACTTACCTGAGCATCTCAGCTGATAATACTTCGCCTGTTTACTAAATGACACAGAATAGTACTGACACCTTTCCGGATTCAAGTCACAACTAATGCATGTCACTTTTGTGTGATCATTAAGTTGGATTCTGTAAAACGGACAGTGGAAATTAAGTACTTGATGAAAGGAAGAAATTGAATAATGCCATGTTCTGGTTTTCAAATATCAGAATGCCAAAGCAATCCTCAAGACTTTTAAAATTGTGAGATAAGTACATAAATTCATAGTACCATCAACCGTCCATTGTTTGGAAATGCCACAAAACATCTAACAAAGTCAGTCTCTTTTGTGACATGTAGACTCATTTGTGAAGGAATAAAAGTGTTTGACATTAAAAAAAAGAGTCTAGAATTTGTTCATCAGCTGAAAAGACTAAAGTCAACAACTTGATAGAGCTCTTACTTATAAAGATTTCTTCCTCCTGGCATTTCTTTGTATTCATTACTAATGTAGTATCTGGAAAGAAAACAAATAAAATATATATTAATTGTGTGTGGGTATTTTTTTTTTTGAATCTCAGCTGCATTCCTGAACTCAAACTCCAGCCATGAGTGTGCACACAAGTACAGGCGTGTGGGTGTCTGTCCTTCCGCCCTTGCTTCAGTGCCCCTCCTAGTCACCCCAGAAGCCATTTCCCTTCATCATCTCTCTACACAGAACTGGAACTTCTTTATCTTAACAGACTAAAATATATGAAACCAGGAATTTCTTCATTAATTAAAGTGACAAGTAAACTCAAAAGAAGACTTTTATAAGAAAAATATGACTGGAAACTAGCCTGAAATTAGCACCCATGTATCAATCCTGTTTTCCAGATTTTCTAATTTATAGCACAAGCCACTAGATGACAGGAGCCCATCTTCCAAGAGAGTGCAAGAGCTACTTCTGAAAAGCGTCTTCAAAAACTACTTTGGGCAGTGGCAAAATTTTCTTGTAACGAGGCCAAAAAAAGAACCATAAAATTTCCTGGGATTCTAACAAAAAATAATGTTCCCTTTTCTACCAATTCTGGTACAGCAGTGGACAGGCTTCAGCTGAGCTTTCCATTTTCCAAAGAGAAAGGCTGAGGCACGGGACAGATAAAATTGTCTTTCCCAGCCTTCCAAACACTCAGCCCCAGCCAAAAGTTAACAGAATGCCCCGAGTGTTCACTCAGTTTTCCAGGATGTTCTAGTAAAAGAGGCTGCAGCTCGGTAATGTAAAGCAGGTAAGAGCAAGAGGTAGAGCTGCGTGGTGGCATCATATCAAATCTGCTCGGCATATGTGAAAATCATTAAGGCTTCCGTATGTTAAAAAGAAAAAAAGGATTGAACACATTCCAAATAGACTACTCTTTATTTGTCGAAGATTTTTCTCTACTTCTCTGCAAAGAGGACATGACTATGATGCATGGGTTTATATTCCACCGGTTGTTAGAATACTTACAGATAATTGCTGGTCACAGCTTCTATCCCAATGACTTCCCAGGCTCCTTTTGTAATAAATGTGCAGTCCTGGTTGGCCTTTTAAGTAAGAGATTTTATTAGACTGTCTAATCAATGTTAAGTAGATGTATCAAGTCATTTACATCAGGAATTCCAATAACCTTGAGATTTCTTACAGGGTGTCCACATCCCTTCCACTTTAATCCATATATAACTGAAGAATTGAATTGGTCTATTTGTACACATTGTTTGACTTTACTGAATGACTTCCATTTCAAGTAAGTTTTTTTTTTTTAAGGAGGTCAACCTGGAATCAATTATGTAAGAATACTTACATTATAATCTTTTTGGAAATGGCAAATATGTTTATAACCCTCTTCATTGCTGATGATCTTATAGAAGCTATTACCATCAGAGGTAAAATGAGGTTCTGCAGGTCTAAACTAGAAAATAACAGAGAACAAAGAAATGTCAAAGCACTCGTCTTATCTCGTACCAACTTTAGTTGTAGAAAGACCTCCCCAACACCTGTGCTCAAAAACCTATGCTTTATTTACTTGCCAAATGAAACTAGAGGGTCTCACAAAGAAAATCCTCCTACTAACAAATGTGGACCAAAAAAAGGAACAAACTCATAGGTAAATTTTTGGAGTAAATGAGAGAAACACATATAGACTCTTGCAGGGGATACCCAATAAATAGAAATGGATACTGTTATCTTGAGGCCTCCTTTCATCGTGGAGGATAATGATGGCTTCTGGCTATAAGTGTGCCAGAAGTGTGCCTTTGTTTCAAGAAGTAAATTTCCTCAGTGTCACAAATGTGCTTTCTTGAAGCAGATATATTACTACATGGCTGTTTCAGGTTGGAGGTGGTTTATAGTTTGGGGGAAGTATTCATTCTTGTATTTATATATATTTCTTTTTTGAAATTCAGGCTTAGTCTTTAACCATTTCTGGACTTGATACCATAAGGAATGTCTGTTGTATATTTCATATAGAAGCATCCATATAGTTATTTTTATCATGAGCCTTTTCATTTTGCTAAAGATGATCAACAATTTACAAAAAAGTTTGCATAAAAATAAAGAAGAAAAATTTCACCTTTTTTTACAGTTCAATAAAAGATAGTATGCAGAATATAATGTAGTTGAATAAAAGAGTGTCTATCCCAGCCTGAAAGAATGATGTTGCTTTCCAATTTCTACTTCCTAGCTATGTTGGAGAACAGGTAGGAGATGGTCTTTTGAAATTGTTGGTTCACTTCGCCCTTGATGTTTCCTCTCTCATCAGCTCCCATTTGGGGAAGAAAAATGCTTGCCTCTTCTATTTAGTGATTCAAAGTGAATTCATTTATGGAGCAAGCTGAGGCGTGCAGTACACTTGGTGTTCTCATTACAGAGCTCTGAAACACATTCCCCTCTCTAGACCTGTGTTCGCAGCCTTATCTTTTTAATACATTTCCCTGTTTCCCCTGGATGGAGTTGTGCCTAGTAGAAATGTGTGAAAAGTGGCATCTGTCTGGTTAAATACAGAGAGGAAAAAACATATTTTTTTCTAAGAGTCGTGAGGAAGTGTAGCATGTCGCTTGCCATGGAGGAAACCGCTTTATGTTGGCAAACCTCTCCCCTCTGCCCAATCAATGCCTGAAGGAAAAGGACATGGAATGCCATTGGAGCTCCAAGCCCAACTGGAAGGAGCTCAGTCTTCCTGGACTGGGGCCTCACCCCTATCACCCAAAAGATGTGAGATAGTTACATTTTTGTGTTGCCTTATTTCCCTCTTAAAGAAGGATTAATAGAAGGAGTCATAAATATTAGATGCAATTCATTCTTCATCTTTCATGCAAGGTGTCATGACGGCTGAAGCCACTTCATCTACACCCTCCATTCCATTGTCTTGTAGCAATGTGGTTGGTAATTCTGTGCAATGTGCCTGTGATGCAGTAGGACTGAGCAGCATGAGAAGTCTCCGAGGGTCACCGTTCTTTCCTGGACAAAACTCTGCATCCCATTGCCTAATAAAGTGTGAACCCACAGGAGTATGATTTCCTTTACAGAGAGGTGTGTAGCTAGCATTGTGGTTGGTGCTGGGTTTCTGCTAGTAGTAGTTACATCTCCTTAGGCATTGATCCAAGCTAGGATGGAAACTGCTTTCTGCCTTCAAAGCATGTGACTTCAAATATGAGGTCAACATGCTCTTTCAGCATCCTGGCTGCTTTTCAGTGGTGGTTGCTTTTTAACTTGCTGAGAGCTACAATTTTCCCGGAGTATATGTTTTGTTTTGTCTGCTCTGTTCTTGGTTTTGCACTTGTCCCCTTACTTTTTCCAACTAAGTATGTTACAGAAGCTTCATAAAAACCTATCTCTGTAGGCAGCATTTCCAGTATTTTGAGAAATAGGTCAATTAACATATCTATTAACGACAAATAACATAGTGTCTATATAGAATAGTTACATATTAACCAGCTCTGAGTAGCTGATCCATAGTACATGAAATCCCATAATTCATAACACTTACTCTTCCAACCCAGCCTGTGGTACTCATTTCAACGTGCTGCTGTGCCTAGAAGGGAAAAAATACAGTGACAGCATTTTAAAGAAAAGTGTAAGATGATGAAATTTATTCCTTAGCCATAAATTGTGGTATTATAAATAAAATTGCACTTAAAATAATCGAAAACTATCTCTATTCGCATATTTTTATTTGTGCTAACTTTTTTTTTAATGTAATTACATTTGATCGTTTACCTCTCTCACCAGGAGCTCTGTCCTGGCTCCATTCCATACACTGTCCTGGAAGCTCCCCTGGCATTTTATATTCAACATGTACAGAACTGAAGACAGTTTCCTTCTCTCTCCTCCATCCCTGCCAGCCTGTTCCTCCTCCTGTATCCTTCTCCTGTCCAGCCAAGCCAGAGACCTGTGAGTCCTTCTAGATTTCTACTCTTCTCACAGTCACCTCCTTCAACTCCTTTCTTTGACTTCTCTGTTTTTCTCCACCATTACCACCTTCCTTCATGTTCTAGGCAAGTTTCCCTTGGTCCGCTGCCATGGTCTCCTAATTGGAGATGCTGCTTATCATTTCTCCGTCTGGTTTCTATCTGCCTTGCTCATCCCCCAGCTGACCTCATTTGGCAACAGACAGTGCTACTCCGCGATTTAAGGCCTTATATCAACTCCCTATTTCTTACAAGAGAAATCCAAATTCCGCAAAATGGCATTTGGGCCTATAACTCTAGCTTTAGTTTCCATTTGTTCCTCTCCTCCAGCCCTAGTCACAAGCACCACAGTTCCTGCATACTCCAAGCTGTTCACTTTGGATGCCTTTGCATTGTCCTCTGCCTTTTGCCCTTATCTGCCCATATACCACAGACTACTCTTTATCTCCCCTATGTCATTTCCTTGCCTTACTCTACCTGCTCCCAATAGAATTACATGTCTGTATCTTGCTTAAACCCTTTCATGGCACAATACCCTAATATTGTGATGATTTCATTAGCAGGAAGCCAAGAGCTTGGGTTTTGCAGTTGGGAGTTCTGGCTGTGTCCTGCGATCTGAGCCAGCTGCTGAAGAGCACTGAGCTTCATCCTCCATGGGGCTGGGCAGATTGGAAGTATTTACTAAATGACAGGTCTTCTAATTTATTTTCATAATAGGATTCCCTACCAGAACCGAAACATTTTGGGAACAGGAATATTATCTAATTTTTTTAATACATAGATTGGCACAGTTTGGAACTTTCCAGGCATTTAATAAATGAACAATGAATCAAGACATAGAGGTGAGAATTAGCATTGTGAATGGACATGATGGGAGCAGGGAGAGGAGATGTGTAGACAGGCCCCATGGCTGGAAAAGGAGGTGAGCAGAATCTCTTTTGCATATGCCAAATTTTTTCTAATCTGTACCCTCCCAAGGCTGCTAGCTCCTCAAGGGACTTCCTTGTGGTTTACCAACCTGGTTGGACCTCATGGTCTCCTGGTTGGAAAAGCCCAGTCCCTTGAGGTTGGATTAACACTGAGTTTGCTTCAGTGTTGCCACCTATGGAGTTGGCAGTTAATTATTTACATTTTAAAGTTGTTTCCTGCTTAAAGATCATCACAGTATGCTAATAGATTTGTGGCCTCTTGATACTTGTTTGGTTTCACACACTCAGTCAGTCATTCCCCATCCCCTACATTTTCCCTGTTGAAGCCCCCTTCACTGTGCTTTCAGCCTCTGGTCCTCTTTGCATTTTTGAATATTGACTTCAGATTCTATCTTCCAGGTTTCTAGTTGTCCTTTCCACCTTCCTAAGTGACCATATACATAACTAAAACCATGAGATTAGTGAGCAAAGGTGAAACAGAAGCCTTGTTGTATAATAAGTTATCTGACAGTCAAGACTGACTGAAAGACTTAGGATTGGACATGGCTTCAGGGAGAAGAGAAACTCAAATCTCATTTGCTTATTCCCAGCCTTTACTCTCCTGGAGCTTACAGAGCCTTCCAATCACATGTTATTTCAGAAACACAGCATCCCATCCCAGTCTTACCAATAAGCAATTCCATGTTAGGTTGGACTTATCATAGTCACAGATGTCCATGACAGAGTAGTTCTGAATCCTCCTGAGCCACTGCAAAGAAATCCTTTCTTGTGTGGCCCATGTCACATCACACAAGTAGTGATCCCTGGAAGGAAGAAAGGAGCAAGGAAGGAGGGGGCAGAAGAAAGGGGAGAGAGAGAGAGAGAGAGAGAGAGAGAGAGAGGAGTGAAAGAAAGAATCAATTTGTTCCAGACTTTGGTACAAATGAACATTTTACTATCCTAATGGGAAGCAGAATTTCAAGTGGTTAAGAGTACCATTTAATGCCATAGTATTTTACTTTTCCTTGCAAATTGTTTTGTTTTTTTGCATTACTAGGTGTTCCAAATCAGGGCTTTATGCTTGTTAAGAAGGTATTCTACCACTTGAGTCATGTCCCCAGTCCTGTATGTTGTTTTTCCTTAAGCAATTTATTTTTGAACAAAACTTAAAATACATCCAAGAAGAAAAACAGTAGCAACATTCAACAGAGGCTTAACATATATGACTCAAACCATAGCCTTAGTATATACTGTCATCATTTTGGTGTCTAGTTGTACCAGGGAGCCAAGGATGGGGCTTTTCACTTCCTTTCTATTGTTTTGAAGGAGTAATGCAGTCACCCCCCAAGATGGGGACACTGGCTGAGATTCTGGTAGTTTCTGGTAGTTTGACATATTTCTCTGGAAAATTCCTTCCATTAGGATGAAACTATAGCTGACCCTTTTCTCAACTTCACTTTCAAATGAAGAAAAAGGGTGTGAGTCATCACACCTCCACAGACTCTGAAAATCAAAGAATTATATCCTAAAGAAATATTTCTCAAGAGTCAAAACATGAACCCTGTGAAGAAATTAAAGAACTCTGTAGTATTTTAGCCTAAATTTATATCAAGATAGTTCTAGCAATGCATCCTCCCTAACACATACTTTTAAACAGTTTTGGAATTACCTTCTGATTTATGGTGAAATGCATGGAATTCATAATTTACTCTTCTGTTAGCCTCCCTAACATTACTTGCTTGAGATGGTTTATTTCCTTTTACTTTTTTTGTTCCTCTCCCTGTTTAATTTGAGTGACTATTCATAAACCACTTCTCTCCAGTGTCTGATCAAAGCTTTGCTCTCTTCTGTCAGAAGATTCAAAATGAGTTTTTTCATTTGCTCTCTTTCCTTCTGGTCCCCTATGCAGAAGAGGGAGATAATCCCCATCCCAACTTCTCTAAAATGCTCCCCTTGCTCTGTCCCCCATCCCCTCCTCTGGCCATTTTGCTCTCCTTGCTTGACTGCTACCTTATGGGTCCTTCACAGAGAATCCCTCTGGGCAAGCAGAATGCCTGGCACAAAACAGGAGCCCACTAAATTCTTGTGCAATGCAGCCCTCAAAACAGGCAACTTTCCTTTCCTGACTTTTGTGGCCTAAACAGCTCTGTTCATTTTCAGAACTCAGATCAGCTCCTGTCTGCACTCCCCTCACAGACACTGAATCATATAACAAACATTTATTGCACTCAGGATGGCTCAGGATGAAGCACATTAAACACCATGCAGCTTCACTATTTCCCCTCTTAAGTCTGGACACTTTGTGTGCTAATGACCTCAGTGACCCTGGGTTTCCATGCTGTCTCCCTGCAAAGCCCTTCATGCAGTGTCAAAGCACCATGCTTGCACACACAGGGACCCTTTTCTGTTTCAGTCCTCTTGCCATTTAAGAACTTATGCACTCCTCAGTCTGGGTGGCCCTGTCCTCATGAACACCAAGAACTTTCCCAGACAGCCTCTCTTTGTTTAACTCCGACCCTTATTCTGAAATGACTGTCATGCCCTAACTTCTTTAGGTCTTAGTTCAAGTGTCCACTTGTCCATAATATTTTCTTGGAAAGCTTCTGCTGCTAGAGGACTATCGCTTGCCTCACAGTAGTTATCACAAGTGCCAGGCCACAGTGGAGCTTCTCCACATGCCCAGGAGGGAACAGGGTGCCTCATCTAATTGAGCTGTCTGGGTTCACCCAATGCAGAGAAGTCAAATAAGAAGATGGAAATGCAAATAAACCTCACTCAAGAAAGAACACAGAAGAACGAAAAGTAAGAAAGAAAATGAAATTGTTCTAAATTAATTTTCTATACTAGAGGTTGGGAAACTTTTTCAGTGAAGGGCCAGATAGTAAGTGTTTTAATCTCTGTGGTTCAACACTTCTCTGTCCCCCCCCCCCCCCCCCCCCCCCCCCCCCCCCCCCCCCCCCCCCCCCCCCCCCCCCCCCCCCCCCCCCCCCCCCCCCCCCCCCCCCCCCCCCCCCCCCCCCCCCCCCCCCCCCCCCCCCCCCCCCCCCCCCCCCCCCCCCCCCCCCCCCCCCCCCCCCCCCCCCCCCCCCCCCCCCACCCCCCCCCCCCCCCCCCCCCCCCCCCCCCCCCCCCCCCCCCCCCCCCCCCCCCCCCCCCCCCCCCCCCCCCCCCCCCCGGAATATCTACCTTCATTGCTCGGAAGCAGTCAGAGACAATGCTTAAACAAATGAGAATGATAATGTTCCAATGAAAAGCTGAACTTTAAATATAATTTTCATGTCACTAAATATGTTCTATTTTAACTTTTCTTCCCAACCTTTTAAAAATGGAAACCATTCTTAAATTGTTGATGATGCAAAATGAATGGCTGGTTGGAGTTGGGCTTCAGCTCTGGTAGGGCAAACCAGATTCTACATCAGTTGTGCTATTTGTCTAGGTCAAAAATCCTTTGGATATTTTGATGAAAATTCCCCTGGGGGGAGGGCTCTCTACTCACATACACAAGATTCTGGAGGGTCATGGCCATTGATAGGAAGCAGATCTAAGATTATCTTCTCTTTTAAAAGTGTTCTGGTGGTATAGGAGGTAAGCAAGGGGGCCAAGAGAACTCTTCTATGATCAATGAGTCAACTGATACTAAGTAGCTTTGTCTTCTAGAGCCATAAATTATACCTCAGGTTCAGAAATCAGCACTATAAAGCAACTTTTCCCCATTTGAAAACACTGAGTAATGGAATTTGGGAGGTTAGCCAGGAAACTCACATGTATCAGCTACCTTTCCTGCCTACTTCCAGATAAAGGTTAATGAACCTGGATCCTCTACTACCTTAGTCCTCTGTCCATGGCCCAGAGTGTACTCTGCACCCTGGGAGGGCTTGTCAAAGGCAGTTTACTAGAGGAGCAGACAGACGGTCAGTTTTGAATTTTCTTATAAACTTAATTCTTTTCAGTTGCAGCCTTAAGCCAGGATCATGCCAGTCAGCAATGTCAGAGTCATGAAGACGATATAAACCACTGGCTCAAGTGAACCTTTCACTGCAAAGTTTAAGTCTTCACTTTAAACCAGAAACATCCAGCCAGCAGAATTATCAACTATGCTTGGCAAGCTACATGCTACAAATACTGAGTAGACATTCCTTCTGCAATGTTTGGGGGAGGGTGGAATAGGGCTGGCACCTGCAGCCAGCCTTCCTGAGAGCTTGGACTGCTTACCTTCTAATTTCTGGAGCTCTGTAATCCAAGGGGAGAACATGGTTGATTTGAATGCAAAAGCGATGGAGTCATTTCTGGATATATAGTAATAAGAGTTCACACCCATGTGGTATCTACTCTGCCAGGACCTGTTTTAAGTGCTTGACATAAAGTTCACGACCACTCTGTGAGGTAGGAACCCTTGTAGTTCATGTTCAGTAGATGAGAAAACGAAAGCACAGACAGGGTAAGTAGCTTGCCCATGCTCACCCAACTGGAAAGTGTGGGACCCAGGATTCAAATGAAGCAGGTGGCTACAGATTTCCTGCTCCTACTCGCTCCTACTGTAGAACCTCTACCCATCCCTTTGAAAAACACTGCCAGTTATCTTTACCCTTTTGCTTCTTTTCACCATAAAGTTGTGTGTAAACTAAATTTTATAATGCAAATCATAATTGAATGCACTAGAAGAGATTTGCTTTTGAACAACCTACTCCAAGGAATCTCCCCTCCCCCGTAAAGTGACTATCTAAGCATGATGCCTTGCAAAGAGTGAAAGTCTTTCAGGTGATATCTATGCCCCTAATTTGTGTAAGTGTTTCATCTAGAACATTAAGGATACTTAAAGTAAGGTATGTGTTACTAACTGGAAAGAATATTGGAGGGAAAAATGTTACTGAGAGCCACTACAGACCATGGAGTGATTAATTCAGTGAATCACCAAAGGAAGCGGGCGTACTGCCAGTGCTGGCCATGGGCTCCATGCCACCCTCTGCTCTGATAGTCATGCCAACCATCCGAGGGCCGCTGACAGATCGCTGAGAAAAGGAATGGGAGGGGCGAGGTGGATGAGATCTGAGGATTGCAGTATTGATAGCATGCAAGCCCTAATTTGCCTCCTTTCTTGCCAGTGTCATTAGTTTGCAGCCAGTATCAGTACATTGTTTTTTTTTTAATCTCAGGCTTTGATGATCCTGCTTTAGACCAAGGGTTATCCACTGTTCAGAAGAGAAAGAACAAGTCTTTATCTGCTGTGTCCCTCAGGACCAGAGAGAACAGGGGTGGGACACTACATAAGCTGTGTGTGATGGGCCTCAGGAGCCATTTAGCAAATGTTGGGTGGGATCACCTTAGTAGAACACACTCTCTCCAATCCTCTAGGTTTGGGCCACAGAATTAGAATTTGCAGACGGCTGGGAGGAGATAAAAAAAGGGATTGCTGTGCAAGGTCATTCTGAAGGCAATCCTTGGAGCCATGTAAATTCCTGTGCTAATACATATAGTCTCTTAGAAAGCCCACCTTACCCATCCATCCAGGCACTTGCCTGTAAGTTTGTTCTACAATAAACTAATAGCAGGTTGGACACCTGCTATATCCCTGGCATCCTGCAAGGTACCAGAAATACTACATACAATTGGCCCCTGCCCTGTAGACCTAGTGTTATTTCAGTCAGCAATATGAGCACTGCTCTAAAAAAAGGTTAGTTCTATAATTTTACATTATGTGCTATTTTTTCTCAAATATTTTGAGATCTCATATCAAATTCTGATTATGAATTGTCAATACACATAAGCAGCTTAATTAACCTAATGAACATTAACACTAAATCATTAAGTGTAGTGGAGAGGCTCGCCTTGGTTCAAGTTTAGGCCAGTGTTGTTGGAAAAGTGGCTTGGGTGCTCTTCTCACTCATTATCACAGAAGCAGTGCTTCTACTCATTTCTGCTAATTTCTAATAAAACCAGAAACCAGCCTTATTCCTCAATAGGCTCTCACTTGCTGGAATTTGTGACAAAGGGACAAGGCCCAACAGGAAAATGACTGAGGAGCACATGGGCAGAGGAAGGAAGAGAGTGAATCACAGGTCAACACAGTCAAGAGGGCTGAGAAGTTCCCTAAGTGGCTTAACTTGCCAGGATTGCCTTTGTCCTGCTGAGCCTTTGTCCAAATCTAGCGAGCAGTGTCTTACTATGTATAACAACGCTTTCCCTAGAAGGGACCTAGAGCTAGTTTTAGAAGAGTCACCACCTTACCAAAGTTAACAGAGACCAGAACTACATTTTCAGTTCCTGAATCAATACTTTCCTGTGGCATTTCCCAAAGTGATTCTTTGGTAATACAACATTACACATAAAATATCCACAGTGAATGAGGCAACCCCACCATGAGTTTGGCTTCAAGAACTACAAAGAACAAAGGATTAATGATTAATTCATAGAGGGCAAAAATAAGTCCTTAGAGATGGTTAGGCTTTCTGAGCTCAGCACTTTACTACTGTGCCTTGGAAAATGATTTCTAAGTGGGAATGTCTATGTCTCTTCATCTGTAAAATGGCTGGGAAAATGTGTAATGTGTTTATGGAGAATAAATGAGACAGCAAGGGCAGAACAGTGAACTCCGTCCCAGCCTACACATTTAAATGTGCTCCACACATTTAAATCTGATTATTCAATTGTTTTTGTCCCAGCAGGCACAAGCCTGTGTCCTATTCCCATCTCCCACATTGTCTTGCTGTTATATTTAAGCAAATGTTTTTGGCTGTTGTGTCTCACAGTGGAGTTCTGACTGTGTTTTGGAGACCTGTCTAGGTCCGCTCTAATCTCTCAGGGAATCCTGGAGAAAATATGGGGACAAGACCTAGGCTTGTCCAACCTGAGCAGCAATCTCCCATCTGTTTTCTGGAATTGTACTCTGCATTGTATCTCACTTAAGCAAAGCATTCAAAGTTGTAAGGAAAAGTTCGCAAACTATTGGTGAGGTCTAAAGCACCTTCCAGATGGCATGTTTTTCTAAGCAGGCACTCAAGGCTCATCCTCTCTGCAGACAGACATTGGTTATAGACCAAGAGGCTGCATCAGGCACTGCCACGCTCTTCCTGGGTAGCTCTGTGCATTGCCACACTCTGTTCCACCTCAGTGCCCTCTGCTCTGCTGGAGTCCCACTTGCTCGAGCTGCACAAGACGGAGGATGCTGCCTTTGATCCCCGGGCCATGAAACACCCATCTGCCCTCCTTGGAATGCTTCCAGCCTGTTGTTTACACCTCTGTCACTGCACTCTTAGAGTCATTTATCTGAATGTTTTGTATCCTCTCCCTGAGAAGAAGTGATGGAAGGGGACAGGCTCTCCCACCATGCCTACTTGGGAGTATAGATCGTGGTGCTCAATCAATACTGTTTGAAGAGATGACTGGATGGGACCAAACAGTAGATTTTTTAGAACCTTTGGGTAAAGTTTTCCACTTTGAATAAACTCAGGGTGGGGGTAGCTTTTAAAATTTACTGGTAATTAATTCCATTCCTGAATAAATAGTCTAATACAGATATTCTGACTAAGCAAATGAATGACTAACCACAGAGCACAGCCTACAGCAAGACTGGCAGTTAGTGCAACCTCAGAGAAACTGGGTGCCTCCCCATTCTCTGATAAGAGCTTCATGCCTCTCAGGGCCCCAGTTATTCTCCCAGGGGCTCAAGGCAGAGTGCTTAGCAACCCCACTTTTCCGGCCACAGAGACAGGTTTGCTATAGATCCCCACCTGATCATTTTCCTAACCCCTGGGCCTTTCCTATCTGTGAAGCAAGCACATGATGGTATGTTGCTTGAAAGTGAAGCAAGAGAAAGCCTGCGATAATGCCGTGTCTACAACATAGTGAGTGCTCAGTGTACGCTAGCTGTCTTTTAGAAACACTAAAACAAGCATAAATAACAGAACTGAATAAACAATGTTTTGATAGCCATCAATTTGTGCCCACTATAGTTTCTTTTAAGGAAAATGAACACTAGTCTGAAGGTACTTGATGACAGAATTTCAAACCTCTAAGATTGTTTAAATAAGAAATATCTTGAAGGATAAGATGTTCATGGGGTTCCCACATTGAATCCCGAGCTTCTCTGAATTTCTCTAGGTCTTACCCTGGCCTAGAAAGCCCCATGTTGTCTTTATCCCCCACTACCTTCTCTTCTCCTGTCAGACGGCTCCAGTCACTCCCACCTCCCTGTAGTTCCTCTAATGCCCAAGAACATTCCTTCTGCAGGGCCTCTGCACTTCCTCTGCTAATACCCCCCCCACACCTCTAGCACCCCTGTGCGTGGATTGCTCCCTTGCTTCACATCACTGCTCCTGGTTCATTGTATCACAGGTGACTTCTCTACCTCTGCTCGCCAGAACCATCACACTTGCCCTGCTTTGGTTTTCTTTGTATGACCTGGAATTTTATACTGTTATTTGTTTATCTGGTTATTGTCTGTCTCTTCCAATTTGATATAGGCTCCAGGACACCTGGGAGTCTGGCTGATCTGTTCACTGCACTTGTCTTTCACTAGAATTGTGCCCAGCCTGAGGACGTGAAGTAGGGGCTCAAGAAAGAGTTGCTGAATGAAAGAATGAAGGAACTTCAGCCTGAGTGATAAAATGGGATGCAGCTATTGATTTCACCTTTCACATCTGACATGTTCTCCCTAAGCAGTGTGAAACTGGCACAACCCAAGCATTCAGGGGAAGAATCTTACCCTGTTAACACAGAAGTAGGAGCAGAGATTTGGATGGAAGTTGCATTGGTGGTGAGAGAGTCTATATTTACAATAAAGAACTTTACAGTTGGGTTCACAGCTCCTGCCTAAGAAAAAATGATCACAGAATTGGTATTGACAAAATATAATATCATTACATGTATTTAAAACTGCACAAAAACGTCTGCATTATGGGTATAAGATTACAATTGGACACTTTCAAGCAATTTAATATAAATAAAATGAACATAAGGGAGACTCGGGAAATGCAAACTTCATATTTGGTAGAAGCAGAATATGTATTTGTGCATGCATGCATGCCTGTGTGTGTGTGTGTGTTTACGCATGTATGTGTAAAACTTGAAGGTCCAGAGCACTCCTGTTTAAATAATGAGTGCTTATTGGTTCATAATTTCTATACTTTGTGCTGAGGTTAAATCTCTTAAAATCAATTCTATCATTTGCAAATATATCGTGATTCCACAGGACAAAAAGCCTTTGGTTACTGTCACTATGAAGGACACCTTGGGTTCTGCCAAAGACATGGTCCACAAGAAAATTAGTACATGAGCCCACAGCCAATGGGCTCTAATTAGGCAGTCATCATTTCCACTCCAAGTTCAGGTTCACCATGTTGGAGCTTTACAGTCAATATTATGACAGAAGCCTGTAAATTCTTTTTTAAAATATATACATAGATTTTCTATTGACAGATTAGTTAGAAATAATATGATATTTTTAGTGAGAACATTTTATGGGCTTTTTTTTTTTGCCAGTTTTGCTCATCAAAAAATAACATTCAACTGAAAACACATCTCCATATTTAGTTTCAGATCTTTTTTCCTCTTCACTTCCTCTCCCTTCCTAAAATGGCAGCTCTTCATAAAGCAAATTAAGTGAGTTGGTAAAAATAAAAATCCCTTACAGCAAAAACACTTTGTTAGAAGATCCTGTAGACGACGCTGTGACCATTATTGTTATGGTACTAGTGAAGAGTTCCTGGCTCCTTTCTAACCCCCTCACTTCCCTGGCTCACGTTGCTTAACAAAGCTCTTCCATTTTAATAAACAGATATCCCGGATGGCAGAGAACAATCTTGAAAAACAAGATGTGGCACTATTATCAAAAAATGTAGGATGTGCAAAATTTACATTAGTGCCAAATCTATAATAGAATTACTGAAACTAGTCCCGTTAATTAGTAATACAATCTGATATATAAACCAAGCTTTTCAACTTCATCTCGGGCACATTCCAACTTTTACAAATGAGATGAGCTTCTGATTCAATTACAGTCTCTCTTTTCCTTCATTCAAACATTTTCATCCCCCCTACCTCTTTCAAAAGCATTTTCACCATCTTTTTCTGCTTGTCATTTCTCAAAGTTTTTGGAGAAATTACAAAACCTTAAATCACACTCTTTCCTGGGATAATAAAAATACTTTAAAATTGCCAGATGCTGTTGACTTCAGCAGGAGTAATCACAGCAAGCTGTTGAAGAGAGACTGACAATATTTTCATTAGCAGGAAGGGATTAAATGCAACTATTCTCTTCCCCTGAAATTACAGAACCACTATTTGAATAGGAGCTCAGACCTTTGGATATGGAATCCACACAGTCTTCGGGTACTGCAAGGACTCATCAGAGTAGAAAGAATATTCAATAAGTGGGACCCCTGTGTCGTTAAATTGGGCATATGCTAAAAAAGTGCTATTTGGAGACCACCACAGAGCGGAGTAGGCACCGAAGACTTCCTCTGAAAAAAGACATAAATTGTTCTGTTACAAGAAGTAGCTGATAAATTGGCATTGGCATTCAAAATATTGTCCTCATTAGCTTTAGTAATTACAGTAGAGTTCAACTAATGAACCACTTCACATTTGCTGGGCTTCCAAAATCCCAGCAATACAAATGAATAAAAATAAAATCTTCAAGGATATATCTGGATTATAAAAATGAGTAACCCATTGGACCATTTTAGAATATTTTAGCATGCAATATTTAATATAAGCTCTACATTTTTTCTTTATCTTATAATCCTCTAAATTTATGCCTCAAAACATACTAAAAGTAAATTTCACACAGGAGGCTGATCTTCCTTTCTAATTTTCAAACAGTCAACATGCCAGCATACTCTTCCCAACTGGGCTGAGTTTGTACTGAGCCTGCAGGGTAATGGTGGGTGGTGTGTAGCTCCTGGCTATCAAACCAATATGGTGCCCAGAGTTTACTACTCTTGGCACAAACAAAGTGTGGGAAGGATGGGTTTAGAATGGCAAAACCTCCATGAGACCCCTACTGAGAACATCTCCTTTGCCCAGCCTAGAAACTGAAAACTCCCTTGGCTTAGCACCCTTCTCTGATGTATAGAGAAGAGGGTCAAAGAAGGAACCAAATGGGAAAAGAAAAAAGGTCTTGTTTTCCAGTACTTTCGGGCTCATTCTCAATCTCTGACAAAAGCAGCTCCTCCCCTATGATCACTATGGGATATACTCATGGAACATTCAATCCCTGCCTCTTAAAGGGCTCTTATAAACATCTCTCACCAATAGGAATTGGAGGGTTCAACTTGCTATGGTTTGGATCTGGACTATCCCTCAAAGATTCACACTTGGTCCCCAGTATGTGGCGCTATTGGGACAAAGTAGAAACTTTAAGAGATGGTGCCTAGAGGAAGGAAATTAGGTCAGTGGGGGTGTGCCCCTGAAGGGGATAGTGGGACTTCAGTTCCTTCCTTTTTTCTTTGGTTCTTGGCATCCGTTTGGGGCAGCCATGTGCTTCTACTGTGATGTGCTGAACTGCTATAGGTCCAAAGCAAGGTGACTGAGGCACTAGGTATTGGAATCCCTGAAACTGTGAGGTAAAATAAATCTTTCTTCCTTTAAGTTGTTTATCTTAGGTATTTTATTATAGTGCTGGAAATCTGACTAACACATAAGTAGACTGTGTGGAGACTCCTATTTAATCTATATCTTGTGATAATGTAAGTATAAATGTAAAAGCAAAGGCATAGAAACTGGAATCTTAGGGTGAGGAAATTATGTGTATCAATCACTTTTTGGTGCCTAAGACCTCTTTACAAGTTGCTTCCAAATGAATTTTCAGCGATAACAGTAGCAGTAGCCACAGTAAAAACAATAACAATAATAAAATATATAATTATTTTGATGATTGGCTGACATTTGATGAATGCTATGTGTCAGATATTGACAACAATTGACACTTTATGTCAGTCAGCCCTCAAAAATAACCAATTATATAGATGAACAAAATGAGTCAAAGTCAAAGAAGATAAGAAATTTGCCTTGGGTCACATGGCTAATAATTAGTAGAATCAATTAACCAAGATTGGTCAGATTTGAGTCCATACTTCCAATTTCCATGTTATGCTGCCTTTTTAGCATTTCCAGTCATAGGAACTCACTACCTGTACGGCAGCCAATTCCCCCTTTTGACTGTTTCATATCTGTATCATTGGGTTACATTTATGTAGCCATTTAGAATTTATAAAACACATCTAATTTATTCTTCACAAAGATCGCTAGGTGAACCGCTTCATAGCCCATTTTACACAGAAGCAAATTAAGGGTTTAAGAGATTTTAAGTTTTAATGAAACACTTATTTCTGGACAATGGAAATTTGCCTTCCTTTTAATATTATCTGCAGTTGCTTTTATAATGTTATCCATTAATTGAATTTGATTTATCCTGCGTAAGAATCTAAATTAAATCATGAGGTAGAACTATTTTTTTAACTACAAAGAAGAAATAATGGGATGAAATAAGGATGAGTCTTTCTGGGAAGTATGAGGCTTGGGATGGTTTGGAACAGCATAAAGATACCTTTTATTTTGCCAACTGTAAACATGAAAATGTTTTTCTATTATTTTGGAAGTTTCAAAATGTTTTCTTAATAGTCTCTAAAACTCTTTATCCTAAAAGACAGAATATTCCTTTGTATACTACTTTAGTTTTCTTTTGACTCATCTTTTTTTCTAAGCTCTTTCTAATTATTTTTTTCTTCTTTAAAAATTAAGAAATCATGAGCTGGGGGTGTGACTCAAGTGATACAGTGCCTGCCTAGCAAGCTCAAGGCCCTGAGTTCAAACCCCAGGATCACCAAAATAAATAAATAAATAAATAATAAAGTAAACTAAGACTAGGAAATCATGATTTGTCCAAATTCAAATAAACACAAGTCCTCTATAAACAGGCATTTCTTCTGCTTTACTCTTCAACCTCCAGATAGTATTTTATCATCTTTTTACATGTTGTAGAAAAATTGCCTATCCATGGAAACTTCTGGATTAGGTAGGTCTTGTTAGAGAAACATCTGATGTTAATCTGGAGGGTTTTATGCTCCAGTAAAGCCAGAGAAGCTCCCTACACAGAGAACTCCTTTGTAGTAATAAACCAAAGACAAGTACACTATTGTGAAACAATGAGGACAGAGCAGTCTAGTCACTGTTAAGAAATTCTTGGTCTGTGACATACCTGGTGTTGTGACTTCTAAAAGACATTTGATAATATTTTCAAATATATGACTTATTTTGAATGTCATTACATGTCTACCTTTTTATAGAAATGTTTAGGCATTTTTAAAACCTTATGCATTTTCTAATTTGAAAAAGCTTTAGAGTCTCTACCTTCATAAACCCAATCAGTTATTCCATTATATATTACATCTTCTTTCCCAGTCCTTGTAATCCTCTGACTTGGTAAATTTGGTTCAATTTTAACATAAATGTCATTTTTCCAAACATAGGCCTAAAAAGATGAAAACTGTGTTAGTATCAATAATAACATTTTATAATGTATTTTATCCTGAACTTTAAAAGTCTTATGTAAGGATAATAATTATCACAGGAGTGAATTTGAGCAAGGAGAGCCATATAATCTCTCCCTCCCATTCTTAAATTACAAGGATACAGGCTATAATCCCAAATAATTGTAAAAACATCTTTAATATGTTAAAATAAGCTTATGACTACCACTATTTGAATGCAAAAGAATATGCAAAGACCTAGAATACTGGCCACTTAGACGGGATTATAGTCTTGTGCGTTTTTTTTTTTTTTTTCCCCCCGGGAAGGTGAGTAGAAGAGAGCCATTGTGTTTTTGGAGGTGAAGTTCAACTGAGATAACATTCCATCCTATTATTTAAGTTCTTTTGGGCTTCTGACATTCTTCTAGCACCATAGAACACAAAAATAAATCTATAGTGACTCTGAATGCCGCCAAACTAGTAGAGAGCAGGTGTGACTTAAGCACAATAGACAATCAGAACTTAAGAATTTAATAAGCATTTTCCCAGTAAATAAACAATTCTCTAAGAGATTTTTGGAAACTTTTGGGAATTATACTTACTGTGTTAAGTGAGTAAAATACTGCCTTGGGCAATAACACTATATTTTATAGTAAATCAATTGGCTTTCTAAGATGTCTGCTTTGTATCAGGGTTAATAGCTTCTGCCTATGAAAGATTTAAGCCAATATTTTTCTGACAACAAGGGAGGTTCACTAACCAATTTATGACCTTCTAGTGACCATGTAATCCATTGTGTATTGTTTGGAATTCTTTCTTCTGTAATCAGCTGCCTAGATAAAGGATAAAGCAAACATTACCAAAAAAATAACTCATAGTGGGATTTTCTTTACAAATCACACTAGAAAAGCCTAGTAGATTTTATGGGGAAATCACTGACCTTTTATTTAAGTCATAAATATCATATGAAGCAGTATAGGAATGCCTCCATTGCTATAAAAGAAAACAGACATATCAGGCATCTGTGATTCTTGAGATGTTTGGCCACTTGCGCAAGATGAAAAATATGCTAATATATTAGTGTATAACCCTCAGGTGTCATCACATATTGTAATTCTCTAATTAGAGCCTTAGAATTTTGGAATTTGAAACTATCCTGGAGACCATCTAGTACCAAATCCCCAGGCCCTCATTTATAACCTTGCTCTGTCATAGCCTCCTCCAAGGAGCTTTCTCAGGACCACAGTGGGCCAGGGTGCCATTTTTGGTGCAAAATGATTACTAGCATTTGGCATAGTATGTTATGATTGATCATCTGCCTACAAAAATGTAAATGTTCACTTTTCAGTCATCTTACTTGCAAAATATTTAAAAGATATATGACTGTATTGTTGTTGGTGATGTGGAGAAAAGTTTACTTTTGTACATAGATGGTGAAAATGTCAAATGTTACAGATTTTTCTGGAAGCTGCTTGGCAATATATATTAAAGTTGAAACACATATTTCATCACTTTTTAAACAATCATCTTTAGAGGCTGAAAATGAAAATAAAACTAAATCTATAGTAAATAGCAGAATACAAATAATAATGTTTAGACCAATAACCAAACAGAAACCAAACAATAGATAAAAATCAATAATATAAAAAATTGGTTCTATAAGAAGACTAGTAAAACTGCAAAAATGGTAAAAAAGTGACAGGGATTACAAATGACCAATATCAGAAATGAAAACTATGACATTGTAACAGATCCTACAGTCATTAAAAGATTCTAAGATCCCATTATGAACATTTTTGCCAATAAATTATAAGAAGTAGAAAAAAGGAAAAAAATTACTTGAAAATAATTTATCAGAAATGACTCAAGAAAGTATTAATAAACACATTAACTCAATCAATAAAAAAACTTTACACAAATAAAATGCCAACCCCAAATAGCTTTATCAGGTAAACTCTTTGTTCTTTTCCAAATAAGTTGAAAACTTATGACCACACAAAAAGCTACACACAAATCTTTATATAATTGACAAAACTTGGAACCAACTAAGGTGTCCTTAAATAATACGTGAATGGATAAGCAGACTTGTCATAGATCTATGAAATAGAATATTATTCAGCAATAAAACAATGAGTTCAGTCCACAAAAAAGACATGGAAGGATCTTAAATGCATATGGCTAAGTGAAATAAACCAATAGGAAAGGTTACATTCTGTATTAACCCTATGACATTCTGAAAAAGATAAAACTATGGAGACAGTGAAAGTATCAATAGTTGCTTAGGAGAGAGGAGTGATGGACAGGTGCAGTGTAGGGGACATTTAGCATGATGGAACTACTCCATACAACACTGTAATAGTGGATACATGCCACACATGCATGCACATACACAGAGTGTATGTGAATGTAGACTATGGACTTGAATCAATAATAATGTACCAATACTGGCTCATCTGTTGTAGTTGTAAAGCAAGACTTTAATAGCAAGGGAAACTGGGGGTGGGTAGATGAGGGAGTTTTTAGGAACTTTCTGTTTATTTTCAGTAAATCTAATGCTGCTCTAAAATATATACTCTATTAAGCTGTTTTTTAAAAATGAATTAGAGCTATGACTTGGAAGGCATTCACATGATATCATTAAGAAATGTAATTTACAGAAAAGTATGAAAATAGGATTCCATTTTTATAGAACAAGCAATAACTAAAAAGAATTCCTATATACGTTCATGGCATTACACGAGCAAGGAGAAAAACACAAAATACGAAGATATATACAGTAGACTCTAAGGAGCCAAGTGAAAATGGGGGGAGAAAAGACTGAAGGTAAAAAGTTATTATCACATCTTTGTACTTATGAAAAATCACATCTGTACATGGATGAAATATTTTAGAAGAAATTCATTGTCTGTATGTTTATGCTCCCTAACATACTCTTACAGGTAAGAAATTATCTTATTCGTTATTAAGTACCTAGAGCCTAGTGCAAGCCACGTGGTAGGTGTTCAAGAAATAAACCAAATTATAATAAAACTCCAATTGTACCAGTGCAGATAAGATAGATAAAATGGGTAGTTCAAGGTCACCCAGGAACATATAGCAGAGTTGAGACACAAAGGGTTCCTAACCTTAACTTCCTATCATTTCTCACTGTGCTACATGTTCCTGTCAACAAGTATTTATTAAATTTTTTTTCCACTTTTTCTAAGACCTACATTCCTTTCCTGAATCTTGGATTATTTTGACACACCCAGGCTTGTTTCTGGGCAACCTTGAGCAAAAGCATAATGCTTGTTAAAGCCAAAAGGTGGGGTATAGGCTAGAAACACAGGGGTTGAGATCATTTCAGAATGACAAAACCACCAAGAGTTGTGAAAGGGAACCCAAGATGCTTGATGTGTTAACTTCATCTTTTGACTATTTATCTATAAACATTGGCAGCACTGATCCCTTGGGGATCTCCTAGTTGAATGTGATACATTAGCAAGTAAATTACAATAAAGAAATTATGATAAGATATGTAAAGAAATACAGTGGAAGTGGGTAAGGAGAGACAGGAATCATAAATTAACTTTGGGGTGGGGAGTTTAAGAAAAAGGTGATTCCTGGGCTGAGTTTCATAGTATGTGACTGCCTCACAGAGAATGTAGCAGAGAGAAACTCAAATGCAAAGATAAGAAAGATCACATTTAAGAGCATAAACTTTGGTGTCTTCTAACTTGGATTCAAGTTTCCATTGTTTAACATCAGGTAAGCTTCTTTCTAAACTTCAGTCTTCTTCTTAAGTAAAGAGATAATTTCAACAACAATCTCAGTTGCATGAGAATGCTTGTGAAGTGCTTAGCAAGGTTCTGGAACATTGTAAACACGTGATAGATGAAACAATTATCATTATCTCCAGAGCATTAGGCAATGAGCAAAACTGCTAGGAGAATACCCATACCAGACTGGGTGACACTTATTCACTCCTTTATTTGTAGACACAACTGGCAAATAATAACTGACCATTCTCAATGCACTAACTTAGACATGAAGATGTCTTTCAGTAGAATCTAAAGAACACTGGACAGTGGATCTCCAAGGAAATGTAATAACATCAACATTTTTTTCTTCTTGATATGTTTATTGAATGTTGTTTGGCCAAGACATTTATGCTGCCTAGAAAACACTATTAGATTCTCTTAAAAGTAAAAAAGAAAAGAGAAGCTATAGTTCCCTTCATTTAATAACCTTGTAACTCAGTGCTCCACAACAAAACATGTATTCATTTAATAAGTATTTGTTAAGTATCTGCCATGTGGCCGTGAACTAGTGACTAAAACAGGGAAAGTAGCACTTAACAGAATAGACAATAAATAAGCAAAGAAATAAATAACAAAATATTATAAAATGCTGTAAGTAACTAAAATAGGCTAGTTTAATAGAAAGTGATTTCTGTGGCATGGGTTGTCCAGAATGGCAGGGGACAAAGTTAGTCAAAGTAACCAAAGACTGCGTGGCTCTGAATTAATAAAGTATAGAAACCATGGGATGAGGGGGAAGAAGGTTACAGATGGAAGCAATAGAAAATGCTTTGGCTGCCAATAGATGGGAAGGAGAGTGATGTTGAAAAAGAAAGAACTGTGCATTTGAAGGTCACTACTTGGATCACTGGCTCCTTGGGAGCCCTTAAGTCTACCCTTTTCCGGGCAGTACCCATAGCAATGCTGAGTTAGTTATTTGGGGATAAGGCCACAGGCATCTGTGCTTCTCAAAACCTCCCCAAGTGATCTTAAGGTGAAATAGGAAAGAGAAGCACTAGCCAAACATTCAAGTGAGTGCTGGACCAGGTGGTAGTAAGTAGGTTCAGACAAGCAGACTGAGGTCTAGTCACACAGGCCTCACAGATTCCATGGTTAGCATTGATGCTTTATTCTGTGTGTGATGGGAAGTCACTGGAGGGTTTAAGTTTGGGTGTAGCTTAGGGTTTTAAAAAGAGCACTTCGGATGTTGCCTGAAACATCTGTGGTAGGAGGAAAAGAACAGAGCAAAATCAGTTAATACACGGGTAAGCGCAAGGAACCCAAGTACAAATACAGATTAGTAATAATGATGGTGGCTAACATAAGATCTACCAGTGAATTACATCCAGCAGGATGCATCAAATGACACTCATCAAACCAGACCAAATAGTAAGATGAGCTGGCGTTTCCTTCTTGCTTCTAACTTACTATTGTATATTAGTCTTTAATGTGGACAACTGGCATTCAAAGAGTCTCATTTCTAATTGCATGTTAGAATACTCTAATCAACATTAAAAAATCTTCTGATGCTAGAGAGACTTCAATTTATTGATCTGGAGATTGAGCTTAGACACTGGGAATTTTTAAAAGTTCCTCAAGTAAATTTATTTTATGGGTAATTAAGTGCAATAAGAAGCACTGAATTGCACAAACAAACCCATTAAGAATAGATGTGTTGGCATGGGATTCTGATTTGCTAATTGTTGAGGGATTTAGCAAAACATAGTCAGAATCTTTGTGTGCAGGAAATGGAGTCGTGCACAGTGGATCCAGGGTAAATATTATGACTGAGAGTTACCATCCTTAGACGGTAAGTGGAGGAGGAAATGCTTTGCTTGGCCTGAGTACAGCAGTGTTGGTGTGTGAGATAAGGTCACCCAATATTATTTATCCCTGGGGAAATAAAAGATAGGGGTAGGAATCCCCACTTTATATTCTGTTTGCAATACAGAGTCTCTCTATAGGTTTCAATCCTTTTAATATAGCTTTAGAACTTTCCATACTTGATAACTGTTAACTCTACAAATGACCAAAAAGCTGCAGTTAAAGTTATTGGTGACTTGCATCCATCCTAAACTTGAGGAGGATGTGTGATTCAGTGGGAGCTTTCCTGAATGTGTGAGAATTCCATGTCGGGTGGGTGACTCGAGGAGGCTGAGTACTCTCAGTGGGACCTTTGTGACTGGAGCTAAGGCTTCCCTCCTTAGAAAGGTTTATATGTAGCAAGACATGAAGGTCGGGAAGTGGTCTGGGGTGTCTGGAGTCTCTGGAGAAGGGAAGGTTTTACTTTATTTTGTGTAATACTTGACCTGGACCTTATACTTGCTAAGCAGATACTCTACCACTTAAGTCACATCCCAGCCTTTTTTGATTTAATTATTTTTCAGATAGGTTCTTGTGCTTTTTGCCCTGCCTGGCCTGGACCTTGATCCTCCCTCCCTATACCTTCTGTGTAGCTGAGATCAGAGGCTTACACTTCATGCCCAGCTTGTTTTTGAGATGGGGATCTTGCTACCTTTTTGTCTGGGCTGGCCTTCAACTGCGATCCAATCAATCTTTGCCTCCTTAGCAACTGGGATTACAGGCATGAGCCACCATCCAGGCCTAGCTGAGCTTTAACTTTTTTAAATGCAAATACTTATTGAAGGTTTTATTACATGTAAGCTGAGTGGCAGGAAATAAAGGATTATATTACTAGATGTATAGGTTAGACATGTAAATTTATTTTATGATTAGATGATAAATGCCTATTATAAAAATTTATTGTTACATTATTCATATCCATAATACAATACTAAGTGTGCTTTTTAGTATTTGAAAGCACTAAAATAAATTTCTCCTACAGTATCTCTGGATTTGTGCTTTATGAATGAGAATGAATTTTTTATGCCGCATTAATGAGTTTTTAGTGCCAATGACGTTTTCATTTGAAATCAGTTATGAAACAACATATTCATATGACTTTTTAAATGTCACAGTAAGAAAGCATTTCTTTTACCTTCACGTAGTTGTATTCTAAGAGCATGAACAGTCCATCAGGAGACACTGAATAGTCACTTATAGAATGTCCAAAGCCTTCCTGTCGGTCAAGTAGAAGAAAAATTGAACAGTTTAACTGCCATCACTCAGCACGTACTACATAGAAGCTACTTTTTATGCACATATCTTGTACCTTGGGAGTACCACCTCTAGGAGAGATGGCACAGTCACTCACACAAATGCCCATGATAGGAGGGGTAGTGATCAGTGTTAGGATGTCAGGGAGGGAAAGACCAACTCCACGCACAACAATGGATTCAGGAGCAGAGACAGTTTTCTCCACAGGTGGAGCACGGTGCACAAAATTGCAGGTGTGGAAGAGAGCATGAGTGTTCAGAGGGTGAGTGAGGGTATCACGAAACCTGAGCGCAGTACAGGTGTGCCAACACAGTGGGAAGTGTGAAGACCTGAAGTTAGAAAATAGCTGGGCCTGAAATATGGAAGTGTGACCTCTTTTTATATGTGTAAGTGATAATATCACATTTATTTTTTGTAAGGACACTGGTGACACAGCTGAAATGAGAAGGAAGGGCAGAAGGGTTATCAGGCTGGACTCGGGCAGTGCAGTGTCTCTAAATGAGAGAGAGAGAGAGAAAGAAATTAGAGCACTCGCTACCATAAAAGCAAATGAAGATTTGAACCAGCACCATCCAGTGGAAATGGAAATCTGTGTGAAATTCTTCACATGCAGAGAGAGAATCACTATGGCTCCTTGAAGTAGCTAATTATAGGGGATGACAGGAAAGCCAAAGATGATTCTCAGGTTTCATCTTAAGTGACTGAGAGAATTAGTGACATTTTCCAAGATTGGGAATATAATGCTTTGAATTTGCTAGGACAGTGAAGGGGAGATGACTAGTTTAGCCTTGGATATTGAATTTAAAATGCCTGCAGGCCGCCCATGTGTAAGCAATAGCAGGCTACTGGATGTGAAGGTTGGATCTTGGCAGAAGGTTAGTGCAAAATGTGTGTAAGAGAATCAAGGTGAGAAAGGAGAGCGCTGATGCTGTAGAAGTGCACAAAGTGAAGAAAAGAGACCAGCAAGTGAAGACAGAGCCTCAAGGATCACTTACATTTAAAAATACAGGCAGAGGCGGAATCGTCAAAAGAGACTAAAAAGGAGCCAAGGCAGGGAGCATTTCGAAAAGGAGAGAGAGATCCACTGTGCCATGTGCTGTAGAAAGAGTCCAACAGGATGAGACCTGAGAGCACTCATGATTTGAAAGGTAATGAAAACAATCCCTGGAATTTCATGCATAAGTAATTATGGGATTAAACATACAAATGTACTGTTCCCCAAGAAAATGGAGCTGTTTCCATATTCAGCATTGAATAGCAAGAGATTATTTTCTTGCTTGTAGAGATATTCATGATCTAAAAAGAAAAATGGCCAGGTCAGAAATTCATGTCACTATTAAACAGTTCCATAAGCTAAGACTTATGCAATAAAATTAAAAATTTAAGTTCACATGAGGACTAAATAAACATTTCTAGACTGAGAAACAAAAATGTTGAAAATTACAATGATATATTCACTTATTCCTCCATCATTAGCGTCAAGGTTTCAATTCACATTTAACTTTTTATAGTGCCTATCAAAGAAACACTTCAGTTCCTTTCTGTCTTCTTTCCGTTTGCACCTCTAAGTAGAAGAAAAATACACCCCACAGAGTTTTAAAAAAAGGATTATATTTTCTCAGTGCCACAAAGCACCCTGCAACCCAATCTAACAAGAATGAACAAAAAGATAAAAATCTGTGTCTTGTGAAAAAGAACCCTTACCTGAAATCCACCGCAGGGAGTAGGACTTTACTCGCAAAGTATTTTTCAAGTAATCACTGAGAGAATAAGTTCTGCGAGTGTCAGCTGCAGCATCATCTGCTGGTTGAAATGAAGGGGCAAATGCTGAAGATGGAATAACCTACGTTTGGGATACATAAACAAATGGATCTCTACAATATACCCTGCTCACAAAATACAGAAACACACTCACAAAATACAAGACATATTTTGAAAGATTTCAGACTGGTTGGATGAAATGCATTTAACTATGAAGCATGTGTAAGTGTGTGTGTGTTCACCATGCTGTGTTAGTGAGTTTCATTGTCAACATCTAGATCAGGAATATCAGCAGAAGTATAAGAGGAGTACATTTTCTAGCAGCCATATTTGAAAAAATTAAGGTAAAACTAATCATAATAGCATATTTTATTTATCCCAATATATACAAAATATTATCACTTCAACATGTAATCAATATTTAAATGTTACTAATGAGATCTTTCACAATCTTTTTTCATACTAACTCTGAAATCTGGTATGGAGTTTTCATTTGCAGTATGTTTCAATTTTGACTAGGTACATTTCAAATCAATTGTTATATGTGGCCAATGACTACTAGTGTACAGAGGATCTCACAGGGTTAGATCACCCTTTGGTGAGGTTGAGAACCATTTCCAAGCCCCGTTGTTCCTCAGGGACGTTTAAGTCAGGTGACCACCCCACTCAAAGATCTTTGTTTCATCACTGATTTTCCTTGAATTGGTGGAAACTATGTGGTTCTGTATTCTGCTTCTAGAAACACAAATTCAAAGTCTGGAACTATTTTTTAGTATCTCCCTCTTTTTTTCCCCAGCACTTCTATCTAACTGATCCTGCTGATTCTTCCTAAGAAATCTATTTTGCAGGCAACCTTGTCATCAAAGTCTCCATTCCTTTCCTGCTCTGTACCACCACTGGAATTACTTTTTCCAAAATGCCACTTTCATCTTGCTTGTTTCATCTCTTCCTCAGAAGTCCTCACTATTTCTCCACGACCTATGAGAAGAATTGAAGGCCTTAATTTGGTGCTAGCAGTCCTCTGCAGCTTAGCATGAAACACTCTTTCCAGGATCACACACATTCCCTTCAAAAATCATCTCCCCTATCATGTGACCTGCCCACCCAGCCCAGGAGATCTGCTCTGGCTCTGGTCTCTGACCCCAACCACTTCCCTACAACTCTCCAGTTGCTTCCCTAGTATCATAACCAGTGGTCCTCTGGCTCCCTCTTACCTCTTTCATGAGGTTCTTCTTACTGTGACATTGGCTCATACTTTTTTTTCATCATTTAATGACTTGTGTTGATAAGTATTCTTTGATGCTCACTGTGTGTTCTTAGCTAGGCTATGTACATTTTGAAAACAAAGTCTTGTTGGTTTTTTTTTTTTATTTTGTTTTCATTGTCATGGGTTTTTTTTTTTCATCAGCTCTCTATTTTATATTTCCTAGTAGTTACTTTTGAAAAAACAAATTAAAGTAAGTTACCATATAGTTCACTGACACAGTAAGTAGACACAAAAAAGTTTATGTTCCTTGATATGTAATTTCATCTTCCAAGCACAATCCAGCCAGTGTAATTCCTCTTCCCCAGTCCTCAGAGTTGTCCACAAACACACAAACACCCACCCATACACACAGTCAGCAACATTCTATAGGTTTCGCTTGTTAATTTTTCACAGCCTGTGGGAATTCTCTTACAGGAAAAACTCTTTCAAGAGATGTTTTTAAGGTCTTGCTCCTTTGGACTCCATCTGATAAATAGTAAAGCCTTTGACTTCAACAGATAAAATTGTTACATTTCCCTTTATTACTACACTGATTTTGATAAAACCTAGTTTGTTAAATAGGTTGAAGAAGTTTAAAAAATCTATTTGTTTTCAATTCAGTCTTGCATGTCACCCTGAAAATGAGGAATGTATTCATGTTTGTTAGCAGAAACACAGCAAGTGGGTAAAATCAGCTCTTGAGCTTGCCAACCCTTAATCAAGAACTAAGGCCTTGAGCAATAAAAAATATTGTTTGAAAGTCATACAGGAAAGAGTAGTTACATGTCTGGATTTGTTCAGTAAATGCTCTCAATTATTTGTATCCATCTAGCCATTCCCATTCTTTCATATGCAAATAGTTATAAAAACAAGTACTACTTGGCAGATACTATGAAGAACATATACCTACTATCAAGATTTAGTAGTCTAAAATGCGCTTACAATGCATCTCCAAATTATTATAAGTTGAGTTGTAAGTGGTTACAGACATTCACAGACTTATTGTTGTCCGTTAATGTAGACCTATAGAAAAGAGATAGAGCAATGTGTCTGTGTGTACACACATATATAAATACATAGTAAGACAGAAATATCAATACAGAACATCTGTCACTGGCTCTTGATTTTGCAAGAAGGGAATTAATTGAATACCTGTGCTATATTGCAGACGGTATTAATTATCTCATTTAAATTCTATCTTAAATAAAATGTTTTTGCTTAGGTTATTTTAAGGCAACACACATCTGGAATGCTAAAATAATTGAGGAAAAATTTCCTTGACATCAACTGGTGTCTAGAGGGCTGCTCTTTTGTTCATGTTGCCTTCCTCACTGAGCACTTATCTCTCCTGTCCTCTCTGACATTGCTAGGTTACTAGTCCCTAGATTTTCTAAATCCATCATCTCTACTGCAGTCAGGCTCCCTCTGCTGATCATGCCCCTTTATAAAGCTACTTACTAATGTTCTAGATACCAAGACGGAGGACTCACTGTTGCTATGGCTCAAGACATCGCCACAGGGCCTACACTTACCTTGGTTTGTGTTAGGTTCAGCTGCTTCACAATAACCCTGCAACCTAGTTTCTATATATTAGCTAGCTCTCTAGTTCCAGAGCAGCCTGGCTAAATTGGAGCAACAAATGTTCCCTGTTTTTTTGCCTTGCCATTTGATAAGCAGGGCACATTGGAAGACAGTTTGGAAACATCCAGATAAGCAAGTTCTGTGAGATGTGTGTGCCAAGTCCAGGTTTTGACCTTTAGCAAGTTCATAGTTTGCTGCCAAGTTACAACCTATTCTGTCAAACTCGTATAGGACACACTCATGTTTCTCCTTCCTCGTCTCCTTGCTCTCTGACAGGGCAATGCTGCAGCAACAGATGAAGGTCCTTGGCTGCTTATGTGGTTTTCCTGGTACGGCCTGGGACATGTCGTTCATTTGACTTATCAGTTCAAAGCATTGTGCTAGCCAAGGAAAGCAGTTAATCATATGTTACCCATCAGCTCATACAGAAACTCTTAGATTCAGATCTTCTTTCATTTAGAAATTTTTTAAAAAGGTTAGATAAATTCTTCTTTCCTTCTTTGAGTAGAGCTGATACTAGGTTGAACCATATTAAATGCTATTTTTATCAGTCATAACAGAGTGAAAAGCAGCATGTTAAATGATCAACCTAATAATAAATTCTCTTCACTGGGTTCTTAGTGAATCTTTGCTTCAAGATCAAAATCACTTCTAAGTAAAAGTAATTCTAGAATAATAAGATCCAAATACAAGAGTAATGAGAGTAATGTTGTTCCATGGACTAATCTTGCTCTGGCCCATTTTTACTGTTTGATTACGGCATATTTTCAATACTTTTATGCCCATGCATCATAAACATTTGTCTGTCTTAAGCTGTGACTTATCTTATTTCTATTTCACAGAGAGAAACTTTTAATAAATAAAAGGCTAATGAAATACACCTAAGAAGAAACATGCTCTTTTAGCTTATAAATGCATAAAGTTGTTAAAAACAGACAAAAGAGATATCAGGTTATAGAGTTTCTGTGTTCTATACAGTAATCAGTTAACATTCCACATTGATAGCTTGTATCTATGATAGGTATAATGAAATATAATGGTGTTAATTCAGAGTTTGCTCTAGCAAAATCACAACCTCAACATAGGGACAAAGGGAAAAATCAATACAGCGGAAGCAGAAATTGATTGAAAGTCTTCTTAGCTTCTACACCATATGAGGGCTACCATCCATCTCCATTCAATCAAAAAACACCATAACAGGTTGAGTATCTGGTGACTTTGAAATCAGAAAGCCCAGATTTGAGCTCAGGCTGTCTTACTGCCTTGGGTCTTTAAGAAAATTATTGAACCTTTGTTATGGTTTCAACGATGGCATCTCCTCAAAAATTTATGTTTAAATTTAATCCCCATTGTGGTGGTTTTAAGAGGTGTGGCCTCTTGGGGAAGTGACTAAGTCATGAGGGCTCCATCCTTATGAATGAGCTAGTGTTTTATAAAAGGCTGGAAGGAACTAGTTTATGTCTTTTTGCTGCACTAACTTCCACCATGAGATGCTGCTGCTGTAAGAAGATGCCATCAAGGGAGCAGGCTCTTCTTACAAGATGCTGAACCTGCCAACATCTTGATCTTGGACTTCCCAGACTCTAGAATTATGAGAAATAGTTTTGTGCTCTTTATAATTTTCCAGCCTTGGGTATTTTGTTGTAATAACACAAAAGGACTAAGGCAAAAATTTGTCCCAGAAAAGTGGAGTGTTGCTAAGCTAAGTTTTGGAACTGGGTAATGGATAGAGGCTGGAATAATTTTGAAGTGCATGCTAAAATGCACTTCATGCTATTGCAGTGAATGGAGCATTAAAAGCAATTCCAGTGAGGGCTCAGAAGAAGAGAACTGTAGTGAGAGACTTAGACTTCTCAGTATTCTAAGTGATCATGATCAGAATAGTGGAAGAAATATGGAGATAAAGGATACTAGGATGAAATCTTAGAATAAGAAATAATATTTTGGAAACTGGAGGAAAGGCCATCTTTTTATAAAGTGCCAAAGAACTTGGTTAAATTGTGTCCGTGCCCTAGGGCTTTGTGGAAAGCAAGATTTAAGACTATGAACTATAATATTTGGTGGAAGAAATTTTTAAGCAGAGTGTTTAGAGTATTCTATTCTTCTAACTGCCTGTTGTAAAATGTGAGAAGAGAGAAGTGAATTATAGACTGAACTTACAATCAAAAGGGAAGAAGAATTTAAAGATTTGGAAAAATCTCAGTTTGGCTTGGTT